GGCCGCCCACAGGCTAAACAAGAAGACTGGAGTCTACTGCATGACCCAAAGATAGAGGAAATTGCCAACGAATATGGAAAGTCTCCTGCTCAAGTCTGTATTCACTTTCAGATACAGAGGGGTGTCTCTGTTATACCTAAAAGTGTCACACCTGCTCACATTCAAAGCAACTTTGAAGTAAGCTTTCAATATATCAAGATTATGTGGGATTGTTTACACAATCAATAGGCCACACTTTCTTTTGGTTCAGCAGTGTAAGAGCTCAGGCAAGATCTTAAGACAATATGGGAAAAGTTTATAAATGCACACTTGCGGCTCATGATTTACAAACTTATTAAGTGTTATACCTGCACTGCAAGGGAGTTATTGCTCCTGCAGGAAAACTTTTTAGAAAGTATGATCTGTTGCTTTCCTGAAACAGCTTTATATGGGTTTATTGGGTGAAAGGGCAGTAGCTTATTGACCAATCAGAGTGTGCATGATAATTCACTTATTTTGAATTGTCAGCATAGACCAAGACCTGTATCAGTGTATTGTTTGTCTGCTGTCTCCACAGTGTCAATATCACAAATGACCCTGCAATAAGCATGCCAGTAATTACCAGTAAATAAGTGAATACATGCCAAAACTAATCTAAAGAATTATGAAATAAAAAAACATTTAATATATTAAAGTTCACATGGCAACCAGATGGACAATCAGACATGGTTTGATGCTACTCTGGTTTGCAGATTTAATGAGTGTCACTGAAGAAGTTAGTCTAGTGCCTTCATCAGGGGTGATCATCACCCCTGATGAAGGCACTAGACAGGAGTGTTGAAACGTTGGATCTATGAATTGCAACTTCTTCGGTTATATTCATTAAATCTGTAAACCAGAGTAGCATCAAACCATGGCCAAAAAACATGTATTAAGCAAAAGCAGAGGAAGAATGTTACACATTGTATTTGTCAGTCAAGCTATGTACTGCCACCCACACATGGTTCTTCTTCATGTTTTGGTTTGAATCAAGCTGATGGTTTTTATCTTTTCAAATTGGCTTGATACTCATTGAAACAAACAATATTTTAGCAATTATGAGCAAAAGGTAACAACATAACATTCCTTTAAACATATGCAGGTCTTTGATTTCATCCTCTCTGATGAAGACATGAGGCTCATTGAATCCATCAACAAATCTTGGAGAGCTCTTATTCCCATGAAAGAAGTAAGTGGTACTGTCCCCTCCTTCCCGACTCTGTCCTCGCTTTCCAACCCCTCCCTTCCACTTTTTCTCTGTTTTACTCAATCACCCACCACTCTCTGACTTTGCCTGTTCTTCATACAGAGACAGCAAAGCATTCTGAAACTTAATGGGTGGTTCATCCTGCACCATGCCAAACCTTAGGCCATACTTTTACTCTGAAGCTTCCCTTAATGGCTGTGGCATGGTTTGTTGGCTCCTACCACCCCTATGGCATTCTTATTAGTGTCCACTTATTTCCCTCCCCCGGCTCTGAAATATTCTTATTGACCTCCCCCCCCTTAAAAAATATATGGATATATATATATAAATAAATAAATAAGGTGCCCTAAATGAAAGAATTTCTCTTGCCCGATATTTTTATTTATTCTTATCATGTGCCTGCCCCATGAGATATTGATACTGTATCTTAATCACTACTAGGATTGAAAGAACAAACAGGCTATATGGCTGGAAGAGAAAATTGCATGCTAGAGGCTTTGCTCAAGAGTTAACCTTTTTTTTTTTTCACCTTTTTTTTTTTTTTTTTCAGGTTGACGGTAAGAAAGTCCCTCGAGATAGTGCTCATCCTCATTATCCCTTCAATATTCCATTTTAATATTTGTCAGAACTATATTTGTATTACAAACTCTAAACAGATGGACTCAGAGTCATTGCTACTGTATTGTATATTTATTTAAAAAAAATTGGAAAAAAATATTTGTGCTGTAGAAAAATTATTTATGGTGGTCAATTAATTTTATAAACTCATTTAATCAAACCCACTTATCTTGTGACATATAATGAGTTTGAGTCGACAGGTGCATTAATTCTAATCGCGCTTAATTATGTTAAGGGAGAAGAGCAATCAAGATTTTAATCGTTTTTAGTTTTGCCAACACACCTTTTATAGGATGCACGACACAGGCATTGACATGCCAGTCTTATCACCATGACAGTTATCGCTGCTATGGCAACAAGGAAAGCTATGACGTCAAGTGAGTAGTACTGGTACCAGGCCATGTTAAACACCTGAGCTCTGAGGTGTTGGGCTCCACCATGTCTGAGTACATACTCGATCCAGTCACCAGCTTTCTCCAGGGAGGTCCGTGGACTGTCTTTCATTAGACGGGAAATGCGCATGGCAGTTTCCTTGAATCTGAAATAAAACAATTCGAAAATTATTGGAAGGATTGGCTTATGCACCCAATATGTAATCTCTCAGAGGCCCGGGAGAGCGATTTAAAGAGGGGATTTGAATCCTAAATGGCTGATACGAGGGTCATCTATATCATCAGGCAAGAAATGCGTTCGGCTCATTACTTGAATCCCAAAAAGATGTGACGAGGTTTTCGGGGAAGAACAAGTATTTTTGTTGTTGTCAAGGTAAAATAAAAAAGCATTAAGAATTGATTGGAAATTTGCACGTCTTGAAATAATTGTACGTTCTCTGAGCTAGGGAAACTACAAGGAAAGTGATTCCTAACGCAGGCATTTTATTCATGGAAAGAAATAACGTAGAAATTTGAATCCAAACGAGTGTAGCGATATTTTTTTGAAAATACCTTGGTTCATTCATCACGCGCTGTATAGCCTCAAAGAGCTCTTCAGCATTCATAGTTTGATGATCTAAAACTGTTGCTATTCCAAAGTACTCTGCTTTTCTGGCATTAGAGAAATGGTCTATAAACAACGGAACAGCCACCACAGGCACCCCATGATATGCTGATTCATACTAGCTGTTAGTTCCGGCGTGAGACACAAAAACTTTGATATCCCTGTGAGCCAACAGATCATTTTGTGGTATCCAACTCACTACTTTGATATTTGGACCGACAGATGACGGAATGTAGCCTGAAAAGGAATTTATAAACAAATATTAGTGGAACAATTTTCAATTGCGTGTCGCTAGTAATTCCTTATTGCTTTGGTTTAGATTTACTAGACTCTGACTGGTCCAGAAAAGTCACTGCACCTTCTCAACTATGAAATCAGATGCACAACGAAAACCAATTGTGATTTCGTCACTCGTGTTTTCCCGCGTTTCATGAATTTTGTGCCTCTCATTGGCTAACGATGATGTCGTCCTAACCTCCAATTGGCTCTTGTGATTACTTGGTTGTGGTTTCCGAAACTCTACTAGAGCTGTTGTAAGTGGACTCAGCGTTATTCTGGCGGACACCGTGAACTAAGCTGACACCAAATGACAAGTTTTAAAATCGTGTCAAAGTCAGTTTTACATAAACGCGTACAAAAATAGTGATATGAACCGACGTTTCGGAGTCTTCAGCACGCCTCGGTCAGGGTAAATGTTAGGATAACGACTTCTGCGAGTGTTATCCTTACCTAATCAATGGCGTTATTAAGACTCCGAAACGCCGGTTCATATCGCTATTTTTTTAGTGTTTATGTATAACCAAATCTTTATTGATAACAAAGTTAGTTTATAGGAGATAACACGACATCTTAGACTAAGATGTTTAAACAACGCATTTTGTGCCACAAACTAGAAAACGCGAGAACGGCTTTTAAATTACCTTTATGTTTCCAGATGATTTTCTGCTTCAACTTTCCAAAAGCCGCTGCCAAAACATCGATCGTCCTGTTAGAAATAGTCATTTTCGCATACGATCCAAAAGAGGCAATGATAAACCCTTGTCCCCCTGAATCCTTAATAAAATCTGCCAAATCAGGGGGGAGTGGGTCTGGTTCAGGTTTGACAGCGATGGGACCCAATATGATTTGACCTGCAGGAAAATAAGCAGAGATACAGAGCTAAAAAGAATCAATACGAACAGCACTATTGACTTGGATTCTAATGAAAACGACTTATAGTGACCTCGGAAAGCTAGTTTACTATATAAACGAGTTATTCTCGACATTTGTACGAGAAAGGAACCGAGAAAAACGACTTAACTCAGCTGACCATCACGACCGACTTACGCTATGTGGCTCTTCCAGCCAATGACGTTAAGGCTAAACTAACCAATCGCTCTTCACGAACCAGACTTGTTACACTTGACTTACAAAGATTAATATTTGGACTCAAATTATGACTACCCCTTAGAATTTTGAAACACGTGTAGCCACAACAGTTCTTCTCAGGACCACTGTTACCCGAACGATCAGTCCACAAGTTTGACTGTTTTCCCTCTGTTAAAACCATTAAATGATATATTACGGTCTGAGTATTAGCGATAACTGTTGAGCATACCTGGTAGAAGAGGTTGTGGACACTCAACCGCATAATGACCGTTAAAAAGCACAAGTTCAGCGCTGGCAACAGCTTCACGGTAGCTTACTTCAGGAGTAATATTGTATTTTTCCTTCAGAGAGCTGTAGGATCTGACAGACAAAGTTTCCAATAAAAACTGAAAAATGTTGACCACAAAAAAGTTTAACACACGCTCTGTAAATGACATTTCACAGGAAAACGGTAACAGACGTGAAGGAACGTATGATGAAGGCATTGGCACCCTGTACATAGAACTGTCAAAATTGCTCGGAGGATTTGAAACAATGACCACATTGGGAATGTCGAGGAGTTCAGCCACCAGAGTAGCACAAACTCCCAAACTTTCGTACACTATCAAGTCATAGTCCCTTATTTCATGAAGTATCTCTGTGTCATTCAGCAATGACTCACACGTGACTCTTGTTATTTCGATGAGGTTGGTTAATCCTTTCCACATGCTCTCCTCAATAGAAGTTTTTATCACGAGTATCTCGCCATCTTTTTCAACATATGATATTTTGAACGTCCTGTGGAGAACCTTTTGCTCAGTGCTCGGTGGCTCGTCGGAATAAGCGGGTTTAATAAGCACCACCTGCAGCAGTAAGGACATTAAAAGCCATGAGCCTCCATTTGGCGACAAAATGTGCCCTGATGTTTGTGCGCAAACATTATCTGATCTGAGAAGTAAACAATTTTTCGAGAGAAGCTTGGGGAAAACTTCAAGCTTCTTGGAATAGTAGACGCAAGATTTTCAATTTAGGGAGTATTGCCGAGGGTCTGATTGTATCTCGACATATGACTCACCCCGTGAAACTTCTTCGCGATAAGTGTTTTCTCATGAATAGCGCTTTGGTCTTTTGTAGTCTTGAAAAAAATTCCTGCAAACATAACATGTTCGTTCTTTTCCCATAAGAAATGCTCGACAGATGGAAAACTGTGATTTTTCGTCTCAAAAACAGGTGACTGATAAGATCAAATAACCTGGCATGTAATACCACCGAACCAAACTCTCTTGTTTCTTTTGCATTATTTGTGGGTCACCACCCCCCCCCCCCTCCCCCCCTCGCCCATCTCCCCCATCCTCGTCTACTTCTTGTAATAGTTTTCCTTCAGGTAACCATGGTGAAACGGTAGGCTCATGTTGTCGTTCCTCGGCTGATCGCAGGTCGCAGGTAAGAGGTGCTCGCTCGGCTATGCTTGACTAAGTCCATTCAAGTTAGCCAATCAGAGAGCAAAAAGCATGCACTATCGCGTGTGTGGTATATTCTAAAAAATAGGACTGCTTGTGGCTAGTGATGTATGAAGTTCAGCGTTCTATTGTTACTTTTGTTACTTACCGTCACTCATTCATTTCGATAATATTCGTGCCAGGAGGCAGTAGCCACGAAAAACTAAAGGATAAGTTTTGAGTTTTCATTTATTCGAATTCACGATTAAGAGAAAAACCATTGGGAGAATTAAAAAAGTTATAAAAGCGACGGTGGTACTCGTAAGAACTGGTCTTCAAGCAGATCAACACGCCGGCCCAATATGCTAAGTAAATGTTGATTAATGCAACATTATACAGTATGTTGTTGTCTTTTTTTCTTTTTGTTTTACAAGATATCACGCAATGATAAGCTGTGAAAGGACGAAGGGACCAAACGTCGAAACATTGTTGGACGAGATGGGGTTTGGTGGTGAACGAAGAAGAAATTCTGAACGGCCAAAACCTTTACAAATAGACGAAAGCAAAGTCCGAACACATATCATAGCTCTTTTACCATGTAGGTTAGCGATGCGGAACCATTTGACAGTTGACATAACCCTAAAGAGCAAAACAAGCCGGCAAATTGTCCTGTTTCTGAGCTGGAGACCTCAAATGCACTTCATCAGTGTTTGCTGGGCTGCAATAACGCTGGTTTGCATCACATGCATAGATAGAGGTCGAAATAAGTAAGATGTGAAAGATCGTTTAATATAAAAACGTCAAATCAAAAGGCGCACAATACACTTGACCATTCGACATAAATTATTGCTCTCCTTTTCACCTCCATGCAAGCTATCAAAGAAATTCTAAATAGCCTCGCGTGCTGTCACGGTTATCATGGGGGAAATTATTTCAAAAAACGGGTCAACTGTTGGAAAATGACATTAAATTTTGGTTTCACGGCATTCGGTAGTGCGTTTTATTAGTCTTTCCAACATCGAATTCTAACACCAAAGCCCTTCGAGTTATCTGTCAAGCAGCATTAAATCTAGTGGCATAAGATAAACCATCTAATATTTTGCAGCTCTGTTTCGCAACACGAACAAACTCTAGTCGAAGAAATAATTAGGAAATCGAAAATGTGCGCATGGACGAGTTTTTCAAGCAATTCAATTTCAGACCATAGGTTGGCAAATTTTCAGAATTAGGGAGGTTTTTCAGTATGATAATTTTTCCACTTTTCCGCTTCCTATAACCCTTACCCTAACCATAACATCAAAGCGCACACGAAGCCGCCAGCTATTCAGGTAAGTTACGTGACGAGTCGGTAAATATTCATCTCAAGCTCCGTAAATAATCAACAGATATCGTTCGATCGACCTTACCTCATGCCCTCATGAAACCAACTCCTCCATAACTTTCTTCAAGTTGAAATAGTGAGATCCTGACGCTGCTCCGCTAAAACCTGCAATCTTCGCCGAATAGGACAAGTCCACCGATATAAACGAAAGAAGAAGAGTAATCGATGATTGCAGCGCCATCTTGACTCTGAGTTTCGAGGTTGTGAGAAGTCACGCAAGGAAGAGCAACCGAATGAGGGAACGCCAAACGAAAAGGAACAGGGAGGGGTAGGGCATTTTCACTAAGTTTTGAATTTCATATCAAGACCTCAAAAGGGAGTATTTGAACACGGGATGGTTCGAAAATTACTTTAATTCAAGCTCTAGTCTTCGCGGAAGACAACCTAGCTTATTACCAATAAAAGAGAAAAGACAGGCTAGCTCAGCGTATACTCCGAGTGGGAACGAAGTGCATCGCTCGAAGGGCTTTCGCCGCGCCAGGCACTTTTTACCTCCCAGCTTCTATCAAATCGCGCAACCGATTATGTAAAGCCGTTATATAGTTTTACTCAAGAGTTTATTTAGATTTTGTTTTTTACTTTTTTTTGTTTGATGGGAAGAAAGTTCCTCGATATAGGGCTTATCTTTATTCCCTTCAATATTCCATTTAAATATTTGTCAGAACTATTTTTACAAAAGATTCTTTAAAAATATTTTACTTTTAATAAATGTAGACGAGATTACTAGATATATTTCATGAGTTTCATTTTCAAAATGATTAAGTGGTTAAAACAGATGAGAAATGTTGTAAAAAACAAGACCTGATTAATTATAATGGCTTGAATGTTTGCCGCCAATGTGGTCAGGTCATTAATTATGAGTTTGTGCCAGGCTATTGTTATTTAAGTTATAAAAAAATAATAATAAATAAAATCAGTCTTGCGAAGAAAATATCATGTGAATAAGGTTTTAAATAATACAATTGATAAGCACAATATCACGTTAAGCTACAACGAAATAGACAAGTTTTACCGTTTATTTCAAATAGTAGAACACTAAATGGTACAAATGAAGATTAAAAGGTTTGTTAAGTTTAATTAAATCTTCATCAGAATCTTTAGTTAAATGGATAACGATATAAAACACTTATTTGATATGAAAGTTGGTAAACAAACACTAAAGAAATATTGCAGCATATTTAAAAAATAACGTTTTTGATAAATGATCTTATTTTTTTGTACTTTTTGTGATACTTCTTATTATATTTATTCATGTTAGGTTTTGATTCAATTATTTCATTATCTATATGTTGTAATTTTATAATAAGATCATGGTCCTTGAATTCAGTGTCACGCATATACCTCTTGATTTCACTTAACATATGTTCATATTTAATGTGTGCGTGTTTGGATTGTTCTATTTTTGCATCAATATTCTTCTGTTTTAAGTACGCTTGTATTAACATTGCAACAATTGAAATCGCTACTAAAGCAAATCCTTTTTTAGCAATACAGTAACTGATGCTATTCCTCCTGCTGCAAATACAACACTTAGAAATTCAATACTCTTTTTTCAAGTAAAAGTTGTGATAAGATCTCGTTTTAATAATAATTGTATCAAGTGAATTGCTGTTTAAATTTAATGATGTTGTTATATTTAAATCAGCACAATTTTTATCAGTAAATTTGTCTGTTAATCTTAGCATTAACTGTGTGATTATTTTTTACGAATAAGAAGTGATTTAGAAAAACATTTAACTATAAAAAATTGGGATAAAACATTTCTTAAGAACTTTTTAAGATTGCTACAAAAAGACGACGTTTCTCATTATCAAGTCAAAAAAAAATATTTGTAAGTTGTAGGCTACATATATCAAAGCTTTATAATAATAATAATGATAAAATTATTTAGGCATAAAATCATAAATTTTAATTCACTAAAATTCTTTTCCAACAATATAGTATAAACTTAATTGAATTAAAATCTGTCATAGGTCTCATTTCACAAAGTTATTTCATTCTAATGATTACATTCTATCGACTACAATCTGTTACTTCCTAATCCTATCCTTAACCATTTCCGAGTTCAACCTAGCTTAAGGGAAATATCATGGAAAATCTTATTTGAAGATAAAAAAATAAAATATTAATAATAATAATAATAATGATAAAAAGCCATACGGTGAGAAAAGAACAATAGTAATTAAACAAAAGTTTGGCACAAGTCCGTCAAAACGCAGCATTTCCCCCAAACAATCAAATTTTCCCTGGACTTTCTTAGAACCTAGTAGTAATCGGGTCGTCCGACTTTCAAAGGGGAAATATTGTTTTTGCACTGAATATGCCTATGGTACAAATAAAGGACTACTATTGTGACCTGTATTTACGCATGGTTAAAAGGCTAGTTATATCGCGCCTTTGCGCAACGAAATTATGACGTCATTCAAAATGGTCGTCGAACGAAAAAACACGGTCGTACGGTCGTACGCGATCGGTAGCCCATCCAAATTTTTTCGGCTTAATTTTAAAGGTTACTACTGTTTTACCTGATAATCATTAAATGTATGTGATTCTTCATCTCCTGATGCTTTCGAATGATATATGCCTACATTAAATGATCTATTTGAATAGTCGATTCTTACTCCTCTTGCACCATATGGTGTAAAATATAATAAAAAAGAGTCTAGTTTTGTGTTAAATGAAAAATAACATGGAATTGTTGTTGAATTAGGATGAAATCTCATATAAATGGAATTATTTAAATCTCTTTTGTAAAAGTTCCGCTAATAATTAAATTACCTGATCATAACGTAAAAAACGTATAACTTGTTGCATCTGGTCTTTCTAATTCATAATTTTTAAAATTTCTGTATATAGTATAATTTGGTATAAATGCAAAACAAACAACATCATGATATAGACTGAAACTATCATTTAACATTGTTACAGTTGATTTTGATTGTAGTAAGTTTACCTCATCATTTAATTTTACCAATTTATTAGTTCTATTAAACCACGCAACAGACAACTACAAAAAAACACGCACTGATAAATCCTTATAAAAAAAGTAATTTGATGATTTGCTCATCGATCGTTAGGAGTATTATCACCGTCGATTTTCGGATCTTGAAGCACTTTTCTTTCCAATTGAGTATTCTTGTGTATATTTCCTCTTCGTTTGTAAGGTCTACATGGGTGTGTTTTGATCAAGGATGAAATGAATATAAGGAAAAACCAGCCAGATTGTTGAAAAATCAGTGTATTCAGGCAAAAATTTTGCATCCCTAGTTTTCCGCGTCTAAACTTGGGAGAAAAAGAAAACAAACGACCCGAGCGTTCCTACAGAAGCTCGAAGCTTATCCTTACCTTAGGGAATAAAATCTGGGAGAGCGTTGATTTGTTCCTTAAAATCACATAGATACCATCAAATTAAACAAAGGTAGTTCGCTACCCGTTCTTGGCCTTGGGACATGTAAAAGCAAACCAGATAAGGTCACCAATGACTAATCGACTGCGCTGCAGTTTATGGTAATGAAAAGGAGGTCAGACAGTCTTTAAAGGCTTGCAACGGAAAAACTGTACGGAAATTTTATGGAGTAATTGTAGTGTGCTCTCAGTCCGAAAAGTCGAGTGAAAGAGCAGGCCGGGAAAGCGACACACTTAAACAATCTTGCAAAAAGTTTCAAAATTTCGTTTTTCTCAAATTTGAGAAAACATTTGCAAAATCTTAAATTGTACCGAATGATACATGGTCATAAAACTCCGGAAGGCCTAAGTCAGGTGTTAAAATTTTTCGCTGGTTCGTTGTCTTACCAAATTGAGGGAACTATGCGATAAAGGGGATAACTGAGGAAACTCTGGTGTTGCGTTGGTTGGGGTTAAATCAAGAAAGTGTGGTTACATTTACTAAATTGAGATTGTAAATTCGCTGTCAAAGCGCATGACAAAAGGGTAACGCTTGAAACGTCAGCTGCAGAAACTCTTCATGATGGCCAATTTATATTACAAACTCATTTGATCAAATCCAATTATCTTGTGACACATAACGAGTTTGAGTCGACGGGTGTGTTATTTCTAATCGCGCTAAATTGTGCTAAAGGAGAGCAGCAATCAAGATTTTAATCGTTTTTAGTTTTGCTAACTCTCCTTTTACAGCATATACGACACAGGCATTGACATGCCAATCTTATCACCATGACAATTATCGCTACTATGGCAACAAGGAAAGCTGTGACGTCAAGTAAGTGGTACTGGTACCAAGGGATACTGGTACCAACACTTGAGCTCTGAGGGTCGGGCCCCACCATGTCTGAGTACATACTTTATCCAGTCAGTCTATCCAGCTTTCTCTAGGGGAGTCCGTGGACTGTCTTTCATCAGATGAGAAATGCGCATGGCTGTTTCCTTGAATCTTAAATAAAACAATTCGAAAATTACTGAAAGGATTGGCTCATGCACCCAATCTGTAACCTCTCAGAGGCCCGGGAGAGCGATTTAAAGAGGGGATTTGATTCCTAAATGGCTGACACGAGGGTCATCTATTTCATCGGCCAAGAAATGCGTTTGGCTCATTACTTGAATCCCAAAAAGATGTGAATTAAAATATTTCAAAATGACTACAGCAACAGTGACTTGTAGAGACTTTGTCACTATTTCTACACGGCAATGAATTACACCGGCAGTACTAAGTTGGTACTTCTGGTGGGGATCAATATGTGGTTTAAAATTTGCTTGAATATGCTCGTACATGAACAATTTGAGAGATAGTGACGAGGCTTTTAGGGAAGAACAGGTATTTTTGTTGTGAAAATGAATGAAAAAAATTCGCCTGTCTTGAAATAACAGTACGTTTCCACAGCCAAGGAAACTACTAGGAAAGCGATTCCTCAAACAGGCATTTTATTCATGGGAAGAAATTCCGTAGAAATTGGAATCCAAACGAGTGTAGCAATACTTTTTTGAAAATACCTTGGTTCATTCATCACAAGCTGTATGGCCTTAAAGAGCTCTCTTTAGCATCCATGGTTTTGTGATCTAATACTGTTGCTATTCCAAGTATTCTGCTTTCCTGGCATTAGAGAATTGGTCTAAAAACAACGGAACAGCCACCACAGGAACCCCATGATATGCTGATTCATAGTAACTGTTAGTTCCGTTATGAGATACAAAAGCTTTGATATCCTTGTGAGCCAACAGATCATTCTGTAGTATCCAATTCACTACCTTGATATTTGAACTGACAGATGACGGACTGTAGCCTGAAAAGGAATTTATAAACAAATATTGGTAGAACAATTTTCAATTGCGTGTCGATAGTAATTCCTCATTGCTTAAAGCTGCTGTAAGTGGACCCAGCGTTAAGCCGGCGGACACCGGGAACTAAGCTGACACCAAATATTCAGTTTTAAAATCGTGTCAAAGTCAGTTTAATGAATTCTGTGAGTATTATCCTAAAATTTACCTTGACAATGGCGTTATGAAGACTCCGAAACGTTGGTTCATATCGCTATTTTTTACGTGTTTAGGTATAACTAAATCTTTATTGATAACAAAGTAAGTTTATAAGTGCTGCAATGATGAATGAATGCGTTCTGTTTAGTTTGCAACACATGCATTGGTCATAATTTGGTTCGATTTGAAATACCGTTTAATGTAAAAAAGTCAAAGGCAAAAGGAGCACAGCACAGCACAGTACAGCACACTCGTTCGTTCAACATTAACTAACGTTCCCTATAGCTCCAATCGGTCAAAGAAAAGCGAATTAGTTTTGAGTCTCTTTACGGTTACCAAAGGGAAAATTGTTACGGAGAACCAGTCAATTATTGACCAAATTGCATTTAGTTATTTAGTAGTATCTTTTGTTGATCTTTCCAACGACGAATTCCAGTGCAAGAGATCAAGGTTTGATTTAGCTGTCGAGCACTACATTTCGATACAAAAGTTAAACCATCCAATATTTCGCAGCTCTATTTCGTAACGAGTAAAAAACTCTAATCGACCCTGGCGCTGATTTCAGAGCCGCCAGCTACTCAGAATAGTTAACCACAACTCAGTGATTATTCATTACTATTCACTTTGGCTTCGACTATTAATCGACAGGTTGATTATCGATCGTTCGATCGAACTCACCGCATGCCCTCGTGAAACCAACTCCTCCATAACTCTCTTTATGTTGAAATAGTGAGATCCTGACGCCAATCCGCTAAAACCTGCAATCTTCGCCGAAAAGGACCCACCAATATAAACGAAAGAAGAAGAGCGAACGATATTTTCAGTGCCATACGGTATCGAATGTTCAGCTCGAGCCCGAGTTGAGTTTGATTCACGGGTCACGTTTGGTAGAGTCAAAATTTCCTCGTTTACAATTTATATTTTTTTTGGGGGGGGGCAGGAGGTTTGATTTCTGTGTCAAAATGATGCACCAGGAATGCAAGAACACAAAGTTTTAAGCGTGAATTTTAATTCTGTACTGGCTCATAGCTGCAAAGTGATGCGCTGACTAGTGACTCGAACTTGACTCGTAATACGGTATAACTGTGAGATTTCGCACGAAAAGGGCGAGCGAATGAGGAAATGCGGAACGAGAAAAAACGTGGAGGAGAAGATCATTTCTGCTGAGATCAAGCTTTGAACATCAATTTCAATGAAACATAAGCTCTAAACGTAAACTCTAAAAGTAAACTATAAAAAGAATTGTCTGAGTCTAAGCCACTAGCAATTTCAATCAAGATCATGACTGACGGGAAGTCACGAGCATCCGCAAAAAGGCTTTTGATGCTAATTCTTAAATTACGTCATTTTGTTGTCAATATATCTTTGTTTTATCTGGTTTATAACTTGCAAATATCCTAGACGCAGAAGCCATCACGCTATTGTTTCAGTCTTCCCGGTGTAACTGTCACGCTGAGGGCTTTTGATATTCTTTAAATCCCGGAGACAAAAAGCAACCTCACTTCCAGGATCCTCTCTCCTTCTCCAAGAAACATCTTTTTCGAGAGATGAAAAGAGAGGACCTTGGGAATGAAATTGACAAAAAAACGGGTAACTGCTTCTGAAAGTTCAAGTTTCTCATCGGATAGATTCTTTATGAAGATGTCTCCTAGATACAGGCTACGCCTTAAAAATAAATCCGTTCTTGGGTATGAACTTTTGAATTTTTTGATAGCTTTAACGATCCAAAAAAACATGTCCTTTCGTATGCAAGTAGGATCAGACAGACGGGCGAAGAGAAAAGTCTGGGAACGAATGAGTTCGCAGCCTGTGATTGGCTAATCGCTTTTCCATACAATTTCCCTTCAAAGAACATTTTAAAAAGAGATATGAAGTTATAGCACGTAAAAATCTCTCGATTTAATTTGATAAAAATTAGTGATACATTATATTTTTTTTCCTTATTAGTAAGAGCAATTTTTGATCGAGCATGTCGAGTGTCGAAAGTTATCAGGGATTGCTTTTTTTTCGCTTCGTGATTGGTCAAGAAAACTCATGCCACTCTCTCAACCAATCAGATGCAAAACTCGATCGACTGTGTTTTCTTGCGTCAGAGGAAATTTGGTAGGTTTTACTTCTCATTCTCATTGGCTCTTAAAGGTTCTTATCTTTCTTCTGATTGGCTCCTAAAGGAACTTATCTTTCTTCTGATTGGCTCTTAAAGGTACTTTTCTTCCTTTTGATTAACTGTTGTGATTAACTTGGCTCTGTTTTCACGACGCTCAATCGAAAAGCGCTCTATGAATCATATTCATCTTCTGGTGGCTCCACTCTCTCAGGAATATAAATAGGCTTTAAATCCTTCGGTTTGTGCGAGCAGTAAATTGATGCTGGGCATCCCACGACTATCACGTGGTTTTTCTTGACCCAAAACCTCCATAAGCCATGATGATATCCTCTCGCGTCTAAATCCCACATTTTCAGACAAGTAGCGATGTTTTTCCAGGTCTTGTGATCGAAAGTTTCCTCCATTCTTATGTAAAACACGTACAATTCGCCTTTAGTGTCAGGAACAAAGTTTCTGAATCTTGTGCACGGCGTCTCCGTGTGGTCCAAAACCTTAGCTTTGCTAAAAAAAGGACAAACAAAAAAACAAACAATGGAGTGATGATCATTTTTGTCAATTCATATTTTAAGTGAAAGGAGATATTAGGATTTTGTGAAAGAACTCGTCTCCTATAGCTTTTTCCCAGGGTCGATAATAGAACCTAACATCGCCTGTTGGTTAAGCGTGTGATTAGCTCAATTTTTTTGGTTCCCAGGGTTTCCTCCGACTAATCCGCTCTTCTCCACATAGAAACCATCAAAAGTTAACAAGCTAAACGCGATGTTGGCATTGTTACGAGCACATTACTCAACCAGTTCACCAAGTTTGTTGCCCTTCCAATCCTCCTGAAAACCATCAGTCTCGTAACCAGACCTTCCACGGCCAAGCAGTTTTGAGTTCCTGCATTCAGTTACAGCTAAACGGTGGGATCTGGGTACGAGATTAGTAGACCATGCAATTCCCCCTAAATACTCCTACCCCCTCCAGGCGATAAGAACAGAAAAGAAAGTTGTGTCTACCCTAAACCAACAAATTATTTAAAGACAGAGCAAGGAGGATCGTTACTTTTAGACGTAAAAGGTTTCAAAGAATGGAATCAAACAAAACAGAGACATTAGACAGTAACCTCGGTTCCAGGACTTTTCCCGATTTACGTGGGGAAAGTATTGGAACCGAGGCTGATTAAACAAATGCTCAACAGAGGCAGATGAGACAGCTCACCTCAGAAGTTGGTTGATCTCCTTCTCGTAGTTTTCTTTGTACATTTTATCAACATCCAGCTTTACATTTGGTTTTGTATTCAGGGAGTGTTTTGCAAAATACCGAGCCTGCATATGACCACCCACGTTCAGCCCCTTGCCGCCGAAATGATATGTTCGTGAAATGTCAGGGATGATACATTCTCGACCTTTCCTGTTGTGGTTACCCCGCATCCATATGTCCCAGTCCACAAAGTCCTCAGGTCTTGGCCATTTCTCCTCCAGTTCGTTTTTAAAAAGCTTACGACTCAACACCCTGGAACCAGGAATCCAAGTGTAATATTGAGTGGCATGTACCCTGCAGATTCTACTCATTAAAATCCCCTCCCTTATAACCAACGTATCACTGCCTCTCCCCCTTGAACCTTACTTTAAGCAAAAGTGTACGGTCCAAGATTGTTGACCCAGCGGGTGCGGAACCTCCCTCTAAGGCAAATTCTGCGAAACTATTCTCCGCCTCAGCATAATTGGAAATTTTTCTTCATCTGATACCAATCAATTATGATCCGATATCAAAGCGATTTATCATACTAGAAGTCTGTCGAAAAAAGGTTTTGAAAGATAGTGAACAAGCTGGAGATAGTGAGAGGGCCATTTAATATTTTTTTTTTTCTCTCGAACCACTCACCATCCCAGGCCCGGCATAGTGTCCACTCTGTACGTCATGGCGGGGTCATTACAGAGATGATCATATCCCTAAAACAAAACATTACACTGATCACCCGGGCATTATACCCTCTTTCCCCTTTATCAACTAAGGGGGGGGGGGGTGGGGAGAACGACAAAGGACTAAGGAAGGAATCACATGGTTTTCGGGGCGAAGGGAGGGGAAAAGTCGTCGCAAACAGAGTATGAAGGTGGACTGTAGAACATAGACTGCTAATTAACTGCTGACGAAAGGGGAGGGGGGGAAGGATCATAAAATATTACAGAGCCTCAAGGGGGATCAAGTAGATTTGATCGCGACGCAACCAAAATTCCCCTTCCTCCTCCCCCCTCCGGCGGTAGATAATCTCCATTTCCAAATTATTGTTGAACACACAACTTGTACCACAAAGTCGCACTAAAATCGTTCTATATAACAAATGGCAGAATTAAACCTTTCTTCTCACGGTGCTAGCGCCAGAATGATATAAGATATATGGTCTCCTAGCTTCTAGAGCCTAACATAATTAACCTTGGACAGAAATTACTTTGATCGATCTATTCACCTACGTTGAGTCTAAGAAATTGCTGATAAAAATACCTTATTTTTCTCGTTAACTTTTTTAAGATGTATTTTAAACTCGTAGCTGATTCCGTTTTAGCGGCGATATCGTTGAAGGCTGATAAAAAATGGTTCACATCCTGTGATAACTGGGCTTTTCTTTTAGCTCGATGTCACTCACTTGTTCTGACATTCGAAAATGCCCAGTGGACACATATACGCCTAGACAACCTATTTATTTACCACAATTCACAACATAGTCAGGTAAATCCAATCGCTTTAACTGTTTGGATCAATGTTAGTGTCTGACTAAGTGCACATCTACCCCTTCCTAGTCAATATTAACCCTTACTTTGTTATCTGTTGATTGTTGTCGGGTTAAGCCAGGGGAGGGTAGGTGCGCAGTCGTTCAAATACTGACATTAATTCAACTGTCCTAACGAACGAGGCCCCCCTTGTGTGTTTTTTGCTTTCTTACCTGATCGTTCCAAGCTGATATACAATAAACACTTTCATCGTTCTCATAGACGGGGAGAAGCTGTTTAAAGTAGCTCAGAATGTCCACAGACACGTCGAGATCTTCCTCCAGTATCAATAAGAAGCTAGCATCAGGATGCTTGTCGAAGGAGTCAACGATGGATTTCTTGTAATGCTAAAAAAGACACTTTTTTTAAACTAAAAAATGAATCGTTTGTAATAATCATGTGTCAGGTGTTTCCTCGCCCTAATCCCTTAAGGACTTTGGCGCACCACGAAGCGTAAAAGTGTAAAAGACACAGGACACGTCACGATGAAACACGGATTAAACTATTCTTTTCATTGTTTTCGTCATTATTTTGTCCTTCTTTTTCTATCGTTTTGCGTCGAAATTGTATCTTTTATACCAAGCAGAACCTGCCTCAGTGACGCTTTTAAGCATAAATATCACGGAAAAGACTGCTGTGAAAGTAAAAAACATCAATTCTCCAACTGATATCGATTTATTGTACCTGACAAATTCTGGCGTTCCGCCGGCTGACTCCAGCGTGTTGCTCAAGGTTGACACCAAGGAGCCTGGTAATGGAAGCAGGTTCCGGCCAAAAACCATCTATGAACACTGTCATCATACTCGTGTCCAGTCCATGGACCTTTTGCATTCCTAAAAGCATGCGCAATAGGTAGCTTGGCCTATTGCTGGCCATGATCGCTATAGGGAGCTTGAAGCGGCTCCCATCTGGGAACGCGGGTGGGTCGATTTCCAGAGGAACAGGATTTTCACCTGAACGTAGATCAAGTATAGATGTAATTATGTTGTCAAGAAGATAAATTACTGTGGCGGAAAAAAGGGTGGGGGAAAGGAGAGTAGCCTGGGCCCGAGTGAGGCATCTTATGTTCTTTCCGAGGTGTTTCATATTCCTTCGGCTCTGCATTGCGAGTATTTTGTTCTGGCCAGTGGATTACAAAGTAACTGTCACACTACAGATCAAATGGAAGGTCAAATGCTTTCCTTAACAGAAACGATGTGATGAATTTTCATCCATATAAGTCAGTTTAACTTATACTACATGGATCTCAAAATTTATGTTCAAAAATTTATTAATTAAGATGAAAGCAGGAAAATAAACCCAAGGCTAAACAACAAAACTTACATCTGCAAACGTTTCCATAGCCTTCAAACTTTCCACAGAATTCTCTCCTCCGTCTGTTTGCTATGGTGTCTTCCCACTGACACTGGACGACATGTTCAGATTTCAGTTTTATCAGGGTTCGTATTTTTATCGGACTTGCCCACTTGTTAGAATCAGTAGGGTTTTGATAGCTCTCTGCGTGCACGATGCGCTGATTTTTCGTCACAGACACAACAAAGGCCCAAGTGGAGCGAAACCTCAACTTTTTTATGAAGGAACTGCCATAACTTGACAAGAAACTGATAGCGTCTTCGGACAATCGGGCAATGGCTTCGTCCTGATTCGTGGGAGAGGTATAAGGTTAGGCACAATTCATTATCTATCGCTTTGGAAACGGAGTGAGAATCAGTTGTGGCCAACAGAGTATAAAGGGGGGACTCCTCCGATTCTCTTCCCCCTCACATGATAAATAGTGACCGGTCCCTTTAGTTTGCATGATACTGGGAAAGTTCTCTATCGGTTGAAAACTTGTGCTTTTTTTTTTTCAAACGGACACTCGCTAACATATTACGAACCTTTAGTGCTTTAGTGATTAAAAATGGAAGATATCTTTTTTGGTTGATATGATCGAACATTTCACTGTCGTGGTTTGAATATCTTGACTATCAAAGTTCTTGAATTGCAAAGGCGTGGTTGAATAGATGATGGTAATCAAAATGGGGAGCGCTCTTTTAAATTTGTAAAAGTGGCACCCTGTACTCGGACAGGAAAATATAGCATATAAGAGTTAAAGAAAAAAGAAACACCAACAACAACCTGGCTCGTCAGTTCCGTCTGAACATCGCGAAGTTATTGCACGGCTTCATGAGAAAAATAACAATAACAACAACAACAACAACAAACATCCAGCCAATATTTCAATCAACCGGTGAAAAGTCCCAAGGGTACTGTGCTAACGTAACTTTGAATAAATAAAGTCAGGTTACAGTGAGGACTCAAACCCATTCCGTTCGTCTCATGGTCCAAAACACTGTTCTTTTGAGCGACGTCTCCTTAATACTTGAATATGTAAAAATTCAATTACCTTTATAGCAAAGCAGACGATTCTACCATCTCTAAGGCCTTTCAGATATTCGATGAGAAAACCGCTGTCCGCGTCAGATTCATAAGTATCAAACCATCGTGATGACATCACAACACCTGTTACTTCATTTAAGACTACTACGTTCAATCCTCTTATCAACATTTCGGATGTGTCCCACCTCTGTCAATAGAAAGTGTATTAAAACGGTAATTAAGCTGATTCGCCTTCCTGATGAAATGTTTCGAAAAGTTAACAAACCTTTCCATAACAAAAATTTATAAAGTATTTTTCTGTTGTCGAGAAAGAGTATCTACCACCCTTACTCCTACATTAGAGGTCCTCCATCTCCTAAATATAAAGTATTTTCCAAGCTATCCATATACAACCTTACCAGCTGGGTAAAAAAGAAATTCAGCCATATAACCATGGAGAAGAAGCATCACATCGACATTCTTATCTTAGCTGTATGTAACAAGTTTGGCACCATGGACCTAGTTTAACGGCCTGGCCTACCACAACTTTCTTATGGCTTAGTGGTTAAGCATCTGAAGTACTAATCTTAAGGTCGAAAAGAAACAAAACAAAACAAAGCCCCGTGGGGTTAGAAATTGGTTTGCATTACGCATTAACCTTTTCATTCCCCCCTCCCACTCTCCCACCCCACACTGGTCAAAATTTAACAAAGGTGTATTGTTGGAGGTCGGTAAAAAATATTTTGAATTAAATTTCAATACTCACGCTATGTCCGTTTATCGTCAACGTGACATTTTCCTTACTGGACAACACTGCTAATTCCAAGAAATTGCCTTCTACAAAATGAAGAGTAAGTACAACTTAAAAGACACCACTAACCTCAGCAAGTAATTGTGCGTACAAAATAGCTATCCTTCTTTTCACTAGGCGTGCGCAAGATGGCGAGAATCATGCGCACAAAGAATAAATCCATGGTTCATGACGTGTGTCTCTTTAGAGCGTAAGCAAAACATTGATACGTAATGTGCAGAATAAGAAAATGTTATCCTTGCTCTTTCCAATCTAAGCGATGAAATTATCTTGCAAGTTTAGCAACCCCTGATTATTTCCGATTGCAAATTTTGCATGGCCATCTGAATATTCTTCTCATGCCAAAAAATTAGGAATTTGTCGACGGAATTATTTTTAGTGTCCTGAATTTGATTCTAAAAGAATTAAAAAGTGCAGATCTAAGATATCTTGTTCTGTAATTTTATGAGAAAATAACATGTTTATATGATGTAATAAAGAGAATACCTTTTGAATCAAGCTCATCACCTTGTGTTCGTCCCTTGTTAGACGCCAAAGTCAATGTCGTTTTATCTTGCTCAGAGCTCGTTAAGAGAGCGAGTTCAGAGGCAGTTTGAAGGAAAAACACCATGTTAAAGATAATTAATACTCCTGCTGAAACCAAAAGAGTCCAAAATATTACTTTTCCGAAGGTCCTGCGAGTTGACCTCTTTACAACCATGACTGTGTTTCAAAACCCATTCAAGTTACGGCCACGTTCGTTGGTGAATTTAACGCATCAAAAATAAAATTTCTCGTACTTCTCCCTGAAAACGGAACAGCAATATATCACTGCCAAGTACCAGAAAAATTGAAATGATCGACGAGCGGAGCTGTAGATATCTTCAACCTAACGCTGCTAGATTTCACTCATAATTTGAATGCACTCCAGTATTGACGCTTCTCGTTTCCTGACGTTTCGCTGTTCTGCATCACCCAAGGATCGGTCGGTTACGAAACCCCAAAACAACCAAATATTCCTCGAAAGCAATACGTAGCTTCGAGTAATTCTCTGCGGAGAATATCTTATTGCTTTTTAAAAAGGGGACCTCGAAAAAAATAAACTTTAACACTAATTTGCTTTGTTTCTAAGTAACGGAATTAACTTCACCGAAAGAATTTTTCGACGTGTCCTGCCGAACAAAGAGGCAGATTTATTACGAAAACTTAATAGAGCAAAAAAGATCCGAAAGCTAAAATTATGAATGTATACCGCAAAGATATTTCGTACAAATAAGTAAAATCTGGAAATGCGAAATTTGAATAAAGTTTGTTTATTAATTTTTAAATTTGTTTCCATACGATCAAAATCTTTCCTTTAAGTACACGACGATCTCAAAACAGATTGCTCAACCCCCGGCAATGATACCATTTATGAAATTTTCTAAATATTGCATTTCAGTCCAAGACCCAGGGGATTGAAATCAATTCCAGCAGTTAACAAGTAGAAAAAGAAATAGGTCTCAGAAATTATATTATCTTTTTCCTCCACCGCTGAAAACGCCGTAAGATTTAACGTTGACGCTAACGCATTTTGAGGCTCCAATATGACCTTTAATTCGAAAATTGTCTCCCAATGTGTAATAAACTCAACTGCTGAGCCATTCTTATTTAAGAAAAATGAAGGTATTTTCACCTCGCATTTTCCATCTCTGAACAATATGAAGCTAACCCACCCCCTACCCCCACCCCCCAAAAAGAAATATTTTTCTTGGTTATTTACTAAGTTAGGCTACTCTTAGAAATCTCAAACCGCAGTAGGAAAAAACCTTTTTACTTTGGATAGGGGTATTAAATAAATTTTGAAGTCTAGAGCTAAATTCTTTGCGAGGACTTAATATTTTTTTTTCTATATCCCACGTTCGTGACAAGACAAGAAATGTCTTTCATTCTCTAACAACTGCGATAATTTGCATATTGCTCGGACGAAAAAACTCAGCTGAGATGCGCTGTCTCTTTGAAATAAAAATAAAAAAGTGCTAGATTTAAATTATTTTGAACATTTTATTCAACATTCTTTATTAATCTTCCATAATATTTTTAACATGGAGAGTCCTCTGGTCTCTGATGTCCACCTCAAGTCGTTCTCAGGATCTTATTCCTCTCTCCTCAAAGAGAACACACCAGTGCGACAAACCATTTTCCCCCATAAGTTTAGAGAAATACTTTGAAGTAAAAAGCCAATTCTATACTCAAATATATTCATTGTGTCTCCAAGTTCGTACTAAATTCTTGATGAATAGTGCCTGTCGTTTGACTTTTTCGACAAACTTTGTATGAAGCTGTTTGTCATTTCCTGACAGAAGCGACTTTTTATTTGTAACCAAGTAAGACGTGTCGCAAAGTTTTATTATTTTCTGTTGGGTTCAGTTGTACGATAGCCTCGCTTGATACGATACAAATTCTCTTGTGCGCTTTTCTCGGCTTCATATTTCTGTAATTCGTCTTGTAGTTTGGAGACTTTCCCTTTAAGTTCATCATTTTGATCGCGAAGCAACTCGAGAAATCTGTCTTTCCTATCCACAGCCATTTTCAACCTCTCTGTTTCAGCCGAACATGATGCAGAACTGTTCGAGTAAAGAATAAAAATAAGCACAGACCACATGGTGGCAATGCCTAAAATAGCGTAATTGAAACGACTAGTGCTAACCATGTTGTAAAAAACTACAATGAGTTGTAAAAAACTGATGAATTTTCTTTCAGTAAAACTGTTATTTTGTTGATTAAACCCAGCTGGATGACGTTGGGCCGTAAATAAGCCAATGAGATTCACTACGCTATCATGTGTTTTTAATAACAGCTGTTCACTCGAAGTTTTTCTTGCATACGGAGCGATGATTCAGTAACTTAATTTATTCGCAGCTATTACAGAAAAAATTGCCGGTTTGGCCGGGTGACCATCATGAAGGTATGAATCATCTTGAAACTTGTGTCACTTGAATCTAGAAGAAAAAAAGATGCCAACAGAAAATAAGCCATGTTGACATCAGACTTGAAAGAACACTCCTTCATAAAAGCATCTATAATTAAGGAAAATAATGATCCATAGCAACGGTCTTTTCTATAAACTGCATATAGTTGACTTTTGCTTGAGCTAACATGTAAATTCTGATTCTAAATTTCTCGCGAATCATTGGATAATCATATCATAAAAGGGCGAAAAAAATTAACAACTTGACTTACACCATAGGTAATTAAACTAATATTCAGCGGGTAAACGATGAATGAAGAAGCAAACTTTATTGCATAATTATCATGAAAAAACATGTTGTTTAATTTTCTGTAATTTGGTGAAGTCCACCTGTTCTGGAGGTATTTTAGTTCAATTTTTTTTAACTGAATATCTTAGAGGACGAAAAGTCATCGAGTTGCGCAAATATAAATACTTATTGCTCATAATTCTGGCTAATAACTCGCCGTATGTCACGGCTGGATAATGGCTTAATAAAATAAATTCTCTTTTATTTGATGAATTTCATGAAACAGGCTAAGGTAATTTTAGGCGAGACACAAAATAAACGGAGCGAGTAATCGTAAGGAAATGCCTTTTTATTCTATTAAATTCACGTTCTTCAATAACAAAGATAAATGCAGACATAAAAACGGATTTTGGCGCAAAATGGTAAATCGAAAAACTGAAAAAACGACGGCGAATCCCTTGTTTTTTCCTTCTGCCAGAGTGAAGTGGGTATCTTGTGATATCAAAACAGTAGGATTGAAAATTATTTTACTCAAGGAGTAATTGTGGTTAGTTGACCACTGTTTCAATAAACATGAAGAAAAAAAAAATATTCTTATCCTTCCGACAAAACTGCAGATGAGTTTAATATCTGAATTTTCGAGAGGATTCTATCTATAGTTTTGAATTTTACCGCTCAGGATGGCTACATGTATCACCAAAAATAGCTATCGGCTTTTAAGTTGAAAGCAATAAATAAACCGTCAGCCAGCAGTTTTTCGCTAAGTAATTGTGGGTAGGGATATATTTGGTAAAATATGTAAATCTGTTACGGAGTGGATGCGTTTATGAGCTTTGGTCAAACGGTGAATTTGGAAAATCATATCTTACCGCTTGAGTTCGCTTTTTGAATTTACCCATATAATCACTGCGGAAAACTGACATGACATGCAACATTAACAAAAGCGAATAAATTTTAACAGCTTGTACATCGATTGATTTTAGAGTGAAGTGATCAAAAATAGGATAGCATTGTGAATTCATCGGCAAAGCTCGCGTATAAAGCATCAAACCGAAATTGAAAACCATAATCGAGTGCAATATAAAAAATTAGAAATTGTCTCAGGAAAATTTTTAAAGTTATTACCGTTATTCAGTACCTAAAATGTATCCTTTTTTTTAAACTGTTCCTTGTCCTCATCCAGTATTCTCTATCCAAGATGTAGTGTTCTGCAGTTCAAATGGACGATAGTTTTAATAATGGATCTTTTGAGTAAATAGATATCGTTGCCCTCCGACTGTTCGCTGTGCATATTGATGAATTTTTGAAGTGGGGGCCGGAATGATGAATAATTATTTAATAACTAGAGTTCGATACCAGTTTGCCGAGGACAAATTTTAAGATTTCGGCTGTATAGCATTGTTTACCGACATACAGGTTTCTCCAGTTAGAGTAATTTCTTACTTTATCAGGAACTCTAAGAGTTTTTATTATTAGTACTTCGACGTTCAAACGATTTTAACCTCTTGAATGCTCATTAAAAAAGTTATTCTGCTGGTCAGCAGATTCTATTCGCGAAGTGTAAGGAGAAAAACTGACAGCACATGTACTAGAAAGACTGATGCAGCTGCAGTAATAGTACTAGTAGTGGACTTAATTTCTTCATATGATAAAATTTTCATATCTAATATTACAAAGTAAAACATAAAGTAGCAAAAAGCTCAAAATAGTAAAAACATCCACAAAAATCCAAATTTGCAACGCGATCTCATGTTCAATTATTGCACTATTTACATAAGAATCGTTGAAACGATTTGTATAAACTTTGAGGCGATGTCTTCATTTGTTTCTTAAGTTATATTTCGTTTCTTTTCTCTTAGAGAATAAAATCTAACTTCGCCATTTTATTGAATATGTTATTGTCCAGTTTTTTTCTAGAAGTTCACGTACGTTAGTGGCTCTTAATATATGTTTGTGCTTGCAGCATCTTTTAAGTTCTGAATCACTTTGACGGATCGGCTTTAAGAGAGCCACTCACTGAAAGAGCGTAACTGAGTGACTTTAAAAAGATCTAAAATGGCGAAAACATGCTCCATCTCTGTATTTTTTACCGCCCTTAATTGGAGTGCTGAGTTCTAGAGTGAATGATGGCTCCATCTGAAAATGATTTCCTTTTTGTCTTCATCGTCAATGACTTGCTCTACATCGCAGCCATTTGGTTAATTTTGTCACGCAACGCGGAGAGCGCGCGTTGAGATTTCGCTACGATCGTCGTTTTTAGGCTACTTATGGTCATGTTATCGTAAGAAAACAAACAATAAAAAGAAAATAAGCCAGCTTTTCGAAAATGAATAGATGGAAACAGACACTCTCTCGAACAAGAAACTCAGACACTAGTGGAAGGTTGTTAGACACTGGTAGAAGATCATCGGCGTGTTACTTTGTTGTTTCCTTGAGGTACTTCCACCAGCTTCCACCGTTCCTCTCTCCATCCAGGACCGTCAACAAAACCTGACATAACTCTGAGTTCGGGTAAACGCGATACAATAGATCAGCATTCCGTCCATGGGGGGAAGAAATATTGTTGGGGCAATTATAGAACAAAGACTGCATAGGCTTTATAAACACATGATTTCATGACCTGTATGTTTGTTTGTAAATCCTGTAAGACAAATTGGCTCTGACAGCCAGAAACGTAATTGTTGGCCATTATAAAGTTCGTACATACGTAGTCTTTTGACCGCTTTGTTTACTCCTGGCCTTGTAGTCCCTTCCTGCAGCTTTAAACCGAAACAAACTTCAGTCGTACGCGCCGTACGTTGATATCTATATTTTAGTCTGTCATTCAGCACACCAAGAAGACAAGCAACCAACGTAACGAGCTTTCCCTTTTTTTCAGACTACAAAATAATTTCGAATCCTCATGAAAATCCAAGAGTTCATAGCACGCTAAAAATTTTGTTTTTAAATAAAGGAGAGAATTCGAAGGAATGTTTAGGCTCTAATAGGCTTCGCCCTTTCACCTAGCAATTATATCCTCATTTACTTCTTCAGGGCGTTCCAGGCTATTCTAGATCTGTTAATGATATATATATATATATATATATATTTATATAATAAGCTCAGTTATGCACGCATTCTGATTGGTTCTCACTTATGATCTATTGGAGGCAGACGTTAGATGACGTCATCATTAAAACTTTTTTTAATTCTTCATTATATAAAACAAATAGATTTCAAGTTGCCGTGCGTCTGTTCAGTAATAGATCACAGATGACGTCAAAATATGGTAAGAACAAAAAAAGTGACACACTATCTATTTGTTAAATATATATATATATTCTAGATCTGTTAATGCTATATATATATATATATATATATATATGTACCCGGGGTTATGAAAGCTCTTTCGGGGAGGAGATTTTTTTTTTTTTTTAAGGGAAATTTTGCTCGGCACTGTCGGAGAAGTCCAGTCTCTCTTTTAGCATTAGTTAGGACTCGTCAAACAACACACAGTAAGAGGAAGTATTGCGTGACAGAGGACTACTTGACGATTGCATGTCAACAGCCAATCAAAAATCGCTAACCCTTGGCGGTGCTGCTGCTTCTAAATGCAAATCTAAAGAAGGCTCCTTGGAAAACAAAAAGTTCCGTCGGACTTTGAGGTGTGTGCTCAGAGCGTCGTTGAAGATCGTCAAATTAATATGGCTGGGTCAGGGGGAGCAGCAGCGGCTGGGGCTTTGGATCATGCAGCGAGAACCATGGCAAAAGTAGTGATGGAGATTGCGAACTCGCCCGACTTCGATCGTGAACAAATTCGCGGTGAAAAGCTGACGCTTTCGCAAGCGTACTGCTTGTTATGGCAAAATTCTGAAGATGGCAATGTGGGAGGAAGGAGATTTGGCTTCGAGAGTAACAGTGGAGTGACTGCAGCAGTGATTGTGGATTTGATTGCACTTGGTAAAGTGGAAATTGAAATCGAACCTAACACAACTATGGGCGTGAAAAACGACCATTACCGTCTGAAGGTAATGTAAGCTAGCCTTAGATAACAACTGTTTCAAGGTTAATTGCACGACGGCAAATTCATCGATTTTCGGGACTAGTATTCTCCTTCCAAAACCATGTTACTCAACAATGTTTGTTATAAAACAGGTGCATTGGTTTATGTGATCTGAAGATATACATAACGCGCTCGACTGACCACACACGATAAAAGCGAAAAACCGTCTCGGAGTTATAAACTTATTGCGTTGGGATCGTTTACGATCCTCACAGCTAGCGCTACCTTATGTGTAACGCAACAAGGTTGTAGATTTGAAAAATTTTACGTACTTTTTTATAAATTTATTTGCTTTATTTTATGTACTTTTTACCTACTTTTTATCATTGTTTTTATTTGCTCCATACTTAAATTACTGCTGTTTAAGCCGGAAATAAGTTGTCGTTTACTTTGTCTGAACGGCGAGTTTCGCAGACTTGACGCAATGTGTCTTACTTGAGGAGCGAGTTGCCTACCTCAAACCGTAGAGCAGTTGTGTTCAGACTGTTTGAACCTCTTTTAAATTTAGGGTAGAGAAGAAAGTGCTCGTGGAATTGTTTACCAGCTGGTGCGATTGAATACATCACCTAGCAATGTTAAGTGCAAACGGCCAATCACGAGGCGAAGATTTTTATATGCAAATGTAGCAGTTTGGAAGCTCCAGGGGGCGCCAATTTCTTTTCAAAATTAATCGCAAATTTGAATATTTTTGAAGGGTGTTGATCTACTGAGTGATTTTAAGATTGATAAAGCTAGTCGGCAGCTGGTGAAGTTAGGTGAACTGAATTTGTAATATTTTGTTGGAGGGGTTTTTTAAACAGGTGAATCATCTTGTGCTCAAATATAAAAGAAATTTACAAACCTATTCTAGGTAGTGATTTTCGTCAACCTGTAGGGGTGTGTGTTCAGAAGGTTTTGTTGCATGTCTGCACTGAATGTCGCAACATTCACATTGTTAAGTTATAGCAGGCATAACTTATCACTTCATCCTGTGAAATCATTGAAGGAAATGCCTTTCTTGCTAAAGGAACTGACACCTCCACATAATGAAATAATGATTACCATATCATTATGAAATGAAATAAATTTCATGTGATCTGCAGATAAAAATCAAGCAAAAGATTCATTCTTGCAGGTGGACTGCAATTCTAGCAACATGTGTCCTCGCATATCAGTCAGTAGTAGCACCTAACTACAAGAAGTTTGACTCCTGTCAAGGCCTCTATACTTCCAAGGTTTTTTTCTGCAATTTCCTAAATTGCATTCCACCTACAGGGATCATTTCTTTGCTTCAAAAACCATACCCTAACCCCCTACTTACTCACCTGGAATTTGTTATGGACTTACAGCAGTAAATTTTTTGCAGCATCTCATGTTTCTGCATTATTTCTCCACAAGAGCTAATTTTTTTGGATGAAGGTTGATCAAACCTTCAAAATTTAAGAAGAAACTAATTAGATCAACAGGACTTACCCTGAACCAAATGTGCTTTCAGGTGGTTGATGAAAAACCAACTGGTACATATCTTGATGAGGCTCTCTTTAACGGGATCTTGAAACATCATGAAAAACACCCTGACAAGCCAGAGAAAGTGAAGTCTGTGATTTTTGATGATATAAGTCAACTTAGATCAAAGAATTACTGCTCTACCATTACACTGGACAGTTTGGTAGAGTTGGGAATTCTTGAAATGAAAGAAAAGATGATGGGCCGTAAATACCCAACAGTAAACAAAGGTAATTATTAACCCTTTACACCCAAAAATAAGTGTTCTCCAAGCTCTTCCCTATACATTTCCTTTGGTACTGAATAGGAGAATTTATTTAATGATCAAAGTTGTTTGGTTGGAGGTCATTTGCTTTATTCTCATGTTCTTAGTGAATGATTCAGTGATATTATTATAAGGAGAATTTAGATGCTGGTCACTCTTTGGGTTAAAAGGGTGAAATGAAAATGTAGTTATGTTGCTGATCTTCGGAATGGGTTATTGTTCTTGGCGGGGAAGGGTGATTGATCAAGGGGGGAGGGTGATTGTCCCAAAGGGAAAGAGTTATTTTTTCCAGAAGGAAGGGTTTTTGCCTGGGGGGGGTTATTGACCCTGGGGGTTGGGGGAGACACTTGAGGTTTCATCATCTATGCCTCTGGCCTCAAATAGATCATAGGTACGTACCAATAAAATGCATGAAAGCTCTAGCTTATTTTGTAGTTAACATAGCAACTCTGCACACCCCAAAATGCCATGAGATGTTGGTGCATGGAAAACTCTTTTTACTTCAGTGCAAAATCCCTGGTTTAATCAATGCTCATTTATCCATTTGCTAATTTTTTTTCTTTCTTTTTTTTGGAATTAAGGACCTGAAGAAAGTTTAGAAAAACAGATTCGTGAGGTTGTTTTGCAAGATATGAAACCAAGTAGCTACATCCGGGTGCTGCTGGTCTTGGCACGACATGCAGACAACTTAATGTGTCTTGAAGATCCCGTGTTGAAAAAACACTTTTCCAAGGAAGAGTATGGAAAGGCAAAAGAAAAAATTAACCAGTTGGTGGGGCTTTAAATCAAGCAAAGAGAAGAAATGAAAGGTTTTCCACTAAATTGGAGAAATGGACTTTTAAATAATTACTCTCATCTAGAGCTTGTCTTTCATTATAAGTGTGTCACTGTTGTTAAATTTAGAAGATAGACAACATTAAAGTTTGTTTCACTAAAAGTTGCTCTTTACACCTTGGAACATTTAGTTCAGGTCATTGTCAAGTTTTCTTCAATCTACTGGCTGCAGTCAAACCTCCATTATGCTGCGCTCTCCTACAAAATAGTCACTTTGAAAATCTCATAATTCTCTTTTCATTTAAGAATTAAATCTCTTTTCCTTTTGTGGTTCTGTCAGCTCTCGCTGGCACTAGAAAAGCGAGTAATTTACTTTACCAGCCCGTAGTTTAACAGAGTTATGACTGTTGTCAGTTTACTGTTTAATAATGTTTGAAAACTCTGGTATCTCTCCAGTTTGTTTTTTGGGGGAAGACCTATCAGAGTCATGAGTGTCAATTAAATACCTGTCATGTTTTGATAGAACCCAGGAATAAAGTAACTTAAAGTTAGCTAAGATCTTTATAGAGTCCTGATAATTCCATGTCAAATCTTTGTTAATTCAATGTTACATTCTCATCTGGATGAAACAACCTATTAAAGGCTAAGGAGAAACGACCAGTTTCGTTTCAAATTTTCATTAAGGAATCATTGAGTTGAAACAAAAAGTTAACCGTGAATTGAAACCTGTCGAAGAATTTGTGCAAAGCAGAATTAGAAACATCTTAAAAGTAACTGAATTTAGGATAAAATAAAAATAAAAATGAAGTACTCAACTCTGTGTTCATCACAGTCATATTATAGGGGACACAATTTAGAAAATAGCAAAATTACATGCCTTAGAAATGTTGTTTTGTATCTCATACTTTTGTCTTCACAAGGAAGTTCACAAAATGATGTTGGCTGTCTGCAAACGGAGGCTCATACCCTAGAAAGAAAGACAGATAGATGGAGTCCACATTTAAAAATCATTGTGCTAGCAAAGGTGAAAAAAAATAGAACTTAGAACTGTTTACAGGATAAGTCATCCACGATCTTGAGGTTTACATGTTAAGAACTCAGCCTGAAATGTTAAACTCTCTTCAACCTTTGAAGTTGATTTAATCTTTGCATAGTAGATGGCAGTTTTCATTACAAGTAGTGAATTACGGTCATTTCGCCTAGTCTAGAGTCGATTCGCCTACGTCCAATGTGTTAGTTCGCTACGTCTTAAACTCCGTACTATGACAATCATTGTATAAAACAGTTGATTCAATTGAAAAAAAAATTGATGATATTCGAAAACTATCGCATGAAAATTTGATAAATGTTAATTGTGTTCATCTCATCGTGCTTTGAAATAAGAGACAAATTGATTTGACCCTTTTTGGAATATTGGATAAATGTTGTGATGCACGATGATAATTCTGTACAATGCGCGTTCATTTCGCGACATTTTAGAGTAAATTCGTTATATTTTGCGTTTCATAATATGTACTAATCTGTCACTGATACATACAAACCTTTTTATAGCTTACACATAAAATAAAGTTTACAAATGCAATTTAATTATTACAAGAAACTTTTTATAGAAAAGGTTGTGGTTATTCATCGTAGTGAAAAACAGTAAAAGCTAAGTTTTCCGTTTGTCTCACGATGTAGTCATGTGTGATGTAGATCGCGACGTTTCGACTGCGTACTGCTAGTCTTCTTCAGGCGATGAGGTCGACTGGTCATGCGTGATCTTATAAGCATGATGCTCTGCTGTGATTACTTGTTTTTCAACAGCTCTGATTGGTGCATTTCGATCCTTGCTGTTCACTCAGTGATTTGCTCCCTCGGCGGTCCGCTGTCGCACGGCTCTCCTGTTGTTGTGTTTTTTTATCGTGGGCATCCACGCTTCTGGAATTTCTATTCAACTACCCCTGTTGATGCTGTAAAGGTGAAGTCTTACATTAATTGCCTCTTTGACCCTGCGCATGTAGTAATAAGGGTCACGATCGTCATCTTTACTTTACTCGTTCCAGAGTGGCTTGTGTAAAAAAAAAACAACAACAACTTTTTGAGACTACTGATCATACCTATCAGTAATTTTTACTTACTACATGCGGGGACGTTAGAGTTGTCCGCGTGACACCCGCCCCTGGTCGGTCCTTACTGCCTATCCATACGTGGCTCTGTCAACACCAGTGTGGCAACGACGGTGTTGCCACCTGTCGCATCCGCCGCAGAGTGGGGCTTCCTGGCGGAAGGTGACGATTTGTGTGCAAAAGATGCAGTCAAATTCCTCCATGATATCGATGATTATAGCTTTGATGATAGCGTTGACTATTGCGTTGATTATATAACTACAACTTCAGGCTGCCTAATGCGAAAAAAAAAATTTATGTACATGAAAAAGTGAGCATGAGAAAAGTTGAAAAGACAAGTTGCGATTTGTTATAACTCTGCATCTGATTGGTTGAAAGGGAAGGTGCTAGGTTTTAAAGTGAAAATTTGTGGGGGCGAATTCCTTCATAATTTCCGTACCTGCTCTTCTGATTAGCAACTAGAAAGAAAAAGCATATTTTTTTACAACTTCGTCCTTCACCCGGATAAGCGAGAATGTTACAGTGACATCGTAGGAGACTAGAACGAGTGCGGACACTTTCAGTTTATTTACATGAAGTATTTAGATCCGTTTTCTGACTGAGCAGCTGTGGACTGCCTGTGAATCTTGTGAGGTTCTAGGTCACTATGACCACTAAAACAAGAACTTACGGCAGAGGAATTCTGCGTTTTACCTCGCTACAACCATGTAGACGACCTGGACAGACAGCTTTTGCAAACGCTGCTCTCAAAAAGGACGGGGCAGTAAATAATTCTCGCGTGCAAAATGGCGGGGAAATGCACGTGCATAAGAACGGAGGTGGAGTAGGTACTTGTTTAGTCGATCGAGCAGTGCAACGTTCAATATAAAAATTTGGCAAGATTTCCGTTTAACCTCATGCTATTCTTAAAGAGAGTTGTGGTCCCAAAGGTAATCTAATGTTTACCATTGTTTTATGTTATCCAAGTAATGTTGCATAATGAGTATGGGGTCCGACGGAAATCTTGCCCGAAAGTCTTCCCAGTGGTCACCATATTATAACTTGTAGTCCATCATACAATCTTGCACGTGTGTGATGGATCTTAAGATATCACGTTACCAAATATACCCTAGCTAAAACTGGGAAATGTCTGAGGATACACCTTGAGTGATATTATCCAATTTTTAAAGCTTACAAATATTATGAAAAAAGTCTCCTTTTAAAATTTAATTCAGGATTAGGAAGCGTTTTTCTGATACTGCAGAAGAAGGAATAAGCTTGTTTGTTCATAAGAGTGTTGAAGAGAATGCTGCAACCATTTCTTTACCCCTCTTAAAATATTTTTTTATATATAATAATAAACACAATAGCCTCAATATTTAACAAGACTATGGCCATATATTTGTTCTTAGAAATTATCTGTTCCTCATCTTGGAACAAATAATGTTTCAGACAAATATCCATTTATGTTTTTGCACCATATAGAGGCAATTGTTTATATAAAATTAATTTTGTTCACATTTGTACTTTTTAGAAACATTCCCAACACCGCCAGCACAAAAAGGAGGTAAACCAGTAAGATTATTGGCAAAGTACAAGTATACAGCAAATCCAGCCAAACCTGGTGGATTTGATGAGTTAACAATTACGCAAGGAGAGAAATTAGTGTTTAGCAGACCACATCCTTCAAATCCATTCTGGTGGGAGGCAAAGAATGAAAATGGAGATATAGGATTTGTACCAGCAACTTATATGATGGTAAGTGTCAGTTTATGGACTCCATAAATGTGAATATTACTTGACTTTCCTATTTCTATGATGATGTATTGTATTGGTGACATAAATCTATAAGAAAAATTGTTCAGGGTACAATTATGTGTGTTGTTTTTGTTGTTGTTGTTGTTGTAGTGTTGTTACATATCATTGGAAGGTGCAGGGACTGATGTTTAGTTCTGTCAACTCTCGAGCAAAAATAGTGGGTTTGAGGTTTGGTAAGGATAATTAACAGTGTCATACTCCCAGGCAAGACACTTGCATCTTAATTTTAAATGAGTGCACAGAAGTTTTAAGATGCGCTGATGGCCCTGTGCATCAGTTTGTTGACTTGACTTTAAGATTTTAAACCCTTCACACCTTACCATCAGTATGCAAGATCTCCATATTGTTCTCTATACATTATAATACAGTGATGTTCATGGTGCTGAAAAGGAGAATTTGTCTAACAATCAAAAGTTTCTTGAGGTCATCATCATTTCTGTTATTATTTCTGTGACCTTAAAGTTAGCTTCAAGGGTGATACTGTTGGAGGAAATTAGATGCTTGTCACTCAGAGGGGTTAACTGAGGGGTTAACTGTTACTTTGAAACAATCCTTGGAAGTGATCATTAATTCTAGGGGTCTTCTCAAGGTTGCACTGGTATTTTCATTACATTTTGAAATAATCAGGTTTTTTTTTTTATTTTAGTGTTAATTATAAAGATTTGTTTTGCTCAAGGTTCTTGAAGACAAAATTACCTCTCTGCCATGGCTTGAAGATGCAAAAAAGAAAAAAACTGAGATAGATGATAAACAGGCAGAGAGTAATCCAGGTGCTAAGCCAGCTTTCAAGCCTTATGTATCAGGTGAGTTTCTCCAACATTTGGATTGACACAAGTGAGCTTGAAAATGTGAAGCAGTAGAAGAGATTCTAAATACAATAAGGCACCTGTCTGTAACTTTCCTTTTCAGCAAAAGTTTTGGCAAGAAAATGAATTTAGTTCCTATCAAACAGCTACTGATATCCTGCACAGAGGGGTAAGGCTAGAAACTGGGGTTATGCTCTTGCAGTTATGGGCCTCTTGGCCTCTAAGTCTGGACCCTTTTCACCATAACATCAGTATGCATATTCTCTATACTGTTCTCTCTACTGTCCCTGAGGAGCTGACAAGGAGACTTTGTCTGACAATCAAGAGCATAGTTAGTTGGTGATGATTTCCTTCATTCTTGTGACCTTAGTGTTTGACTTAAGAGTGATACTGTAAGGGTCAACCCACCATAGGGGAAATTTAACTTATCATCAAGCGAGTTGATAATATAATTTGGCCACTGTGAAGAGTTTAAAAGCTGATGTTTTGAGCATCAGCTATTTGTCAGAACAATTTGACGAAGGGCTAATGCTTGAAACATCAGCTTTTAAACTCTTCACAGTGGCCAATTTGCATTATCAACTCAGCTGATATTACTAAATTACCTTGTTATGCTCTCCTACCAATGCAGCACCACAGTTTCTTTAGAAACTTACCCCCTTAAGTCAACCCACCATAGATTTTCATATCTCAGGTTTGAAGGCAGACTCCTTTTTTTTCTGCAGCATATGGATCAAGAAAAAGCAGTTCAAGTAAAAGCAATTCAAGTCAAGAAAACCAATACTACTGTGAAATATGTGATAAAAAGTTGAATGGACCCATTCCATATGAAGTTCATCTGAAAAGCAAAGCACACAAAGAAGAACTGGAAGTGAGAGAGGAGTTTAACTATTAAGTAAACAAATACCTGTTATTTGTTTTTTGAACCACTTGTTTCAGACATCGAAATAGCAATTGAAAGGAAGTGTGCCCATTTTGTAATTATTTACTCCTAGTTGTTTTGTTAAATTAACACTTCTATGCTCAAGATCTCATTAGTAATTCTCCCTACTGTTCGCCTTATCATTCTTATGATGTTAGTTCTGAGAATTTGGTACTGGATCAGCCAGACATCCCCTATTTGATAATATTCTTTGTTCTCATTACATGTCTCCTTGATATTGTATTGATATTGTAAGGAGAAATTCTGTCTTGGTCACTCATGGGAGTTAAAGGGTTTAAACTTGCTGCATGTAGTCTTTATTAAGAACCAATCAACCTGAAACTAGTAAAACTTCTGTCACCTCTATCATCAGCTTGTGTCAATGAATTCTGGGATGTAAGTTAAAAAAATGTTTCTGTGAAAGATTATGTTAAGATAGTTTATTACCAGAAATGCTTTAAGTTATACACCTAGAGTTGCAGATCATCAGATTTTTGAATAGCAAGTATAAGAGAAATTATAGGTATTTTTTATATTTATTGCTGAAAATACAACATGTAATTTATTGAGTATTAGATAAAGAAATAATAAAGTTCACATTTGTTATGTTAATGGTGAAGAGTTTTATATTTAACTTACAAAAGAATGATATTTTGGATTTTAGAGTAGTAGTTTGTAAACTTTAAAGTTTATGATTTCTCCTGGTAAAAGAATATTATTAACCCTTTGACTCCCAAGATCAGATTGTTAATTCTCCCCTCTAGCTGCTACACATTCCTTGTAAACAAGTTACAAGAATTTGGTGTTAGATCAAGATTAGGACCTCTACCTGATAAGTTTGAGTATTTTTATTACCTGTTGGCTGGATTGTGTATGGATATTGTTGGGAGATGTGACATTTTAATCACCTCTGGGAGTTTAAGGGTTAATGAAATCAATTATTATGTTAATAGGGCATAAGAAGATGCAATGGATGACTGGGAAAGAATGTTTAAAACTTCTGTCACCTTTTCTCAAGTTCATTCAATTTGTAAGAAATAAGGAAAGACAAATTTTTTGACAATTTGTGTTCAAGTCTGAAATTTAAAGATTAAAAACAGTCCTAAAAAGGTCTACAGACATCATGACAAAGCCCTTTTCCTGTTTGATATCTCTACTTCAACAGTTATTTCTGGTGTCCACAAATTCATTTCAAGGAGTAAAAAAGGCAAGTTCCTTTAGCCTCATGAACACAGGCAAGGTAACAGAAGGACCCGAACACTTTAGTCACGAAGATAAGCATGAAAAAGCTCAATAAAGTTCAAGATTGATTTTCTATTGGTGCATTAACAATGGGACTTTCTCTTTGAGGGACGACCAACAATAAAAATTCATCAGAGGGCAATTTAATTCTCCGCAGAAAAGTGTACATGATCCCAGTCCGTACATGTGTTAGTCCATGTTAGTTGAAGGAGAGGAAATGTTGCTTGGTGATCAGAGCAAAAGATTAAGAGCTACAAAGGAAGCTATAAAGCACTGATGCACACATCTACATCCCTGATATAGCTCACATTAAATAAACAACGGGTAGTTGCTCCTTTTTGACGAAGTTTGTCGCGCGAATGAAAAAGAAATATCAGCCAAAAATTCAAACACGGCAGTAGTGGGTTTCCTGTGCTGCGCGGCTACCAAGCAACGTCAACATGATACTCAACAACGCAGTCTTGTGTACTCTAAACGGGCCTACTATAATCAAAATTTACATTATGATACAAATGTTTAGAACTGCTTAATGAGGTATAGGTGGAGCAATGGCCCTGAACGCTATATGGAGGTTGAATCGTAATATTTGAGGGCAAACTTTGTAGGCACAAGGGATAAATTGAAACATGAGTAGTTCTTGGCAGCCCAATCCAAATGCTAAGCCGTTTGTACCGGCGTCCGCTTTCTTTACCTTGCCAATTCCTTGCGCAAAGATCCGCATTCGAAAGAAAGGGATTTTTAGCAGGATTATTCAGTGGATTTTGGTGATAGTGTTATGCGTGACTGTGATAATAAATTTTATTTTCATTTGGGATACCACGAAGAAATATAGCAGGGATCGAACTGTACTCAATTCAAACACAGCTGATGAAGGAGTTGGAATTTCAAACCACAATGAAAACAAAGGTACGGTTTAGTTCTCGACCAATATCCTCAACTAAAATTTACTTCTGAAATTAAAGATCCTTTATTTAGCAGTGGTTTTACGAAATACCTAACCGTAAAGTAGAGGAAATTAAGGTCTATTTCAAAGTACTCCAATATTTATTAAGTTCGCATGTTCATTAATTCAGGAAATGGTAACCGGCGAAATTTTAACTTGTTAAGACAATCTTGCCACTTGCAACATAATGATTGTTTTGACTTTGTTCTCTTTCCTTCGTGAGGACATGTTTAAAGAAGTTCTTATGTTTTACCGCAGGATGCTCTTGGTATAAAAAGCCCTCATAAAATTAACAGAAGACATCCTTTTAGAAGCTTAGAGGTCTTCGCTAATTTCTTTATTTCCCCTTAAATTTTTAAATCTACTATGGAAAGCAAAAGATGTTTATAACTTTTGAGTAAGTCACTTTAATTTAATCAAAATTTGCTGGTTCTATAGCTGAGGGTCGTAGGATCACTATAGAAGTCCAGTCAAGCAAAGACGTTGCCTCTGTCACTGTAGATGGAACGAAGGTACAGCAATAAAACTTTTTGTTGATAATAGAAGCTTGTGACTTTTATGGGTTATAAGCTTCTGATGGTAGCTATGGAACATTTTTATTAAGGAAACCAGAGGAAGTATTTGTATTTTGAGCGAAAACAAAAATAGTATTTACATCGAAATTATTCATTTATCCTTCGAGACAAGTTTGCTCCACCAATAAGGCTGATGTTTCTTCATGTAACCATTAATGCACTTAATGATAGGCTTCCAAGGGAACCAGTGAGTTTTGTCTCCCTGAGCCCCTTACTCACAGTTTCCCGAGGGGTCAGCTGTGAGGAAATGGTGGGCAGAGAGTCAGCTGAAATTTTAATTTGCTATTGTTAGTTATTACCTCAGGGGGTTTCTTAGATTTGTTTTTCTTAGGGGGGATATTGAGTCTTTGCTCATGGCTAAAGACATGTTCTCCTCCAATCAGAAAAGGTTTGATGCCACTCTGCTTTAAAGATTTAATGAATGTAACCAAGAAGTTACAATTCATAGACCCTTGGGTCTATAAATTGTAACTTCTTAGTTACACTCATTAAATCCTTAAACCAGATTTGCATCAAACCATACCTGATTGTCCACCTGGTTACCATGTGAACTTTTTAACATATCAGAAAAGGTATTTGAGTAGGAGAGGGGATGACAACATCATTAGGATCTTCCTCTAAAAAAAATCCTTGATTAATTTATAGAGATATGAGTTTCCTTATTCTCTGATCTGTTTATTGAATTTGAATAAAAACTGGAGTTGAAAACAAAGCACATTTATCCCCCAGTAGTTTCCTTTCTGGAGAACTCACCATTTCTTGACACATTTCCTTCGTGAAACGAAAAAGTATCAGTCAACTTTGACGTAATTTACTATTTCAGTACTAAGTGGGAAAAATCTTTTATCTTGTACACCTTGTTCTTGTGAGCCCTAGCTCTTTACATTATATCCCCTGAATCACATATTAAGGTCGCAAGAAAAAGGAAACTATCACCAAGTAAAGAATCACTTGATTGTTATACAAATTATTCTTGTCAGCACCTTAAGAAATGCATATAGAAAAGTGTCAAGGATGTACATACTGATGTTAGGGTGTAAAGGGTTAGGAACAATTAACCCTGTAACTCCCATGAGTAACCAAGATGGAATTTCTCCTTACAGTATCAATACAATATCAACCAAATAAGTGACGAGAATGAAAAAAATATCAATTTGGCGATAATTAGTTGATCCAATACTAAATTCTCTGAACTAGCATCATAAGAATTGTATGGTTGACAGTAAGGAGAATTACAAATTTGATCTGGGAGTTAAAGGGTTAAGTTCCAGAGAGTGAACTTAGGATGCCGGATTGGATTCTTTGTCAGGGAATTATTTTCTTCATGAAAAGATTATATTTAATTTTTTATTTGATGGTAAGGTGTTGGAGGCTACTGATGAACAAAAGAGAGGAATCAATGTTGCAGTTCTTAACCAGATGACTGGTGCTGTCATGGCAACAAGGTCATTTGATACCTTTGCTGCTAAAGAGGACTCGGATGCCTTGGTGCTGTTCATCAACATGGTGTCTGATGGTAGAATTCTCTGCTTTGCAATACGAGTGAGTTGGTTGCTGTTCATGTTTTAGATTAATTTGTAGCGCATGCAATACAAAAGCAGAAGGCTACCAGTGAAGATTGATAGAGATTGATGCTGTTTGGCTCGTGACATATCATTTTCCTCTTGTGAAAAATGGGATAAGCACCATTCCATTTGCTCTCTGCTTCTTCAAGCAGCTCATGAATGAAGACTTATTTTGCACCTTTTTAGTGTGTAAATCTCAGTAAAACTATGTATGTAATAAATGAGACTCACACCTGGAGAGAAGTCTAGGAATGAGATGCATGTACTTGTACAAAGAAGTTTGAATCAATGATTTCAAACAGCGTCGACTGATGGTATCTTAGTTTATATTTATGTTATGGCAAACTTGAAGGTTACATTTATAAGATATCAAAGCTCTGTTAATGATAATGGTGGTATTTTCAATTTACCCTTCTAAATATGCTGAATCATGTAACAACAAAAAGGTAGAGAAATATGTTTTTCATTTTGTCATGAACATGGGACAAAGAAAAAATCTTCAAACCTCAGACCTTCAGATTCCACACTCTGATGCTCTACCACTGAGCCACAGAGACTCTACAGTGAGCAAGGTCTATTATGAAGTTCATGTGACACACGTCCAGCATACTGAGCACTAGGATCAGCAGTGTTTCCTCATGGGGACTCCAAATTTTTTCTCTGTCCCACACTCACAACAAGGTGAAAAACATCTTTCTCTAGTTCATTACCATGCTCAAAAATTTGCACCTCTCTTACTCTATTAACAAAAACATGTGTTTCGCAAAAATCTGATTTTTCTGGTTTCCAGGATGAAGGGACGTATCATCTCAAGAAGACAGCACGGAATCTTATGAATACACTTGGAAGTGAAAACTTTAAGAACTTGAACTTCAGAGACATGTGGGCCTTTGTGGTGCACAAACGAGGCTCAATCAGTGCAGAGGGGCATAGAAAGGCCCCCAATTTTGACACCTGGGGAGAGCCCCTAACTATTCAGGCCCTAGTGACACTGCAGTCACAGGACAGTGCTTCTTGTTCATGGGAAGAAAGTGATGTAACAAAAAGAAGGAGAGAATTTTGTGAGAAGTTTGAAGGATATGGCAGTGTCTGTAGCTGTAAGTGACGTTATGTAGTGGCCATGAATGAATTATGCATCTCTCGTTAGATTTTACCAGATTTCTTAACCTTTGATTCCTTAGAGTAACTAGCATTTAATTTCTCCTAAGAATATTTTCCCCAAAACATGCATTAACCCGTATGTTTGATTTGTTTGCATATTTTTTGTTCAATTATTCCAGGCTCAAACCCTGCCCCACTTGACATCAAAAGTGATCCTTTACCAAATGGGGAAAAAATGTCTCTTCCAATTGCAATCATTGCTAGCAACAGACCAAACTACTTGTACCGAATGATTCGCTCTGTCCTTTCTGCTCAGGGAGCAGATCCTAGCAAGATTACAGTCTTTATTGATGGATACTTTGAAGAGCCTTTGGCTGTTGCACGATTATTTGGTGTCAGAGGAATCCAGCATACCCCTGTCAGTAGCAAGAATGCAAGAATATCACAGGTGACTTAAGGGAGGAGGATGGGAAATTAAAGAAGCTTTGTCAAGTAGTAATGTTTTGTTATCTGTAAAACTGCTTTCAGCTGAGCAGGTAATTTAGTGTTAACAACTGGGTTGAAAACGTAAATTAGCCACCGTAAAGGGTAAAAAAGCTGACGTTTCGAGCGTTAGCCCTTCGTCAGAGCGAGCGTCTGACGAAGGGCTAACGCTCGAAACGTCAGCTTTTTTGCCCTTTACGGTGGCTAATTTACGTTTTCAACCCAGTTGTTAACACAAAATTACCTGCTATACTCTCCCACCGACGCAGCACCACAGTTTCTTTAGAAACTTACCCCTTTCAGCTGAGAGCAGGCTTTGAAATATTTGAATAAAGGGGGTAGGTTTCTAAAGAAAATGTGGTGCTGCATTGGTGGGTAGTATAACAAGAGAACTTGGTTTTGTCAACAGAAATAAATAAAATAAAAACTAACACTCCAGATTTCAATTCTGCTTGTTATAAGTGGATGGGAACTACTCTGTAGATAATGCACTCCTGAGTTCTTTTCCTGGGCCTCAAGCCATAGTCCAGTGTTACAAAGACATGGATGTCTGAATAATACACTGACATTTGGAATGAATTTTTTCGTTCTTTCTCAACAGCATTACAAAGCGAGTTTAACGACAACCTTTAACCTGTACCCAGAAGCCAAGTTCATGATCATTCTAGAGGAAGATTTAGATGTGTCAACAGATATCTTCTGGTACTTTTACCAGTTATTACCGTTGCTAGAACAGGACGAGAGTTTATATTGTATATCGGCCTGGAATGATCAGGTATGGCGTGAGACAAAAATATCACAATACAATGACCAACGTCCAGCTCGTTATCACGTTGGTTCACCACACGCACTCGTCTGTGAAAGAGGCTCGCGGTTCAAAACGATTTAGCATGCTTCCACAGTTAAGCGTTTCAGTCAGAGCCATAAATTTGCATGTTATAGGAATTTATCCAGATTCCGCCAGAAAAGGAACATACTATTGTGTTTCAAAGAAAAAAGTTAGAGATTTTAGTGCGAGCTTGTTATATTTGATGGGGCGAAGTTGTCGTAAGGGAGCGAGATAGAAGAGGCGAACTTGCAGGGGGATGAAACTTCCATATACCTTTGCTCAACATAACCAAGCTAATTGTTGTGAAATTGAAGAACACTCTATGTGTTTGATAAATTTCAACCAGATTTATAAACATAATCCTTTGTTTGTTTCTTCAGGGTTATGAGCACACTGTTGGTGATCCGTCCCTTTTGTATCGAATAGAGACTATGCCTGGACTTGGCTGGTGAGTTGTTCAGTAGGACAAAATGTAGAATCACTGAATCTAGTTGGATGGAAGATGGGTTCACTGCCTGTGTTTTTGTTAATGAATTTCCCCACAGAAATTCGTCAAGTTAACTTGACAGTTGGGTGTTGTCGAGACTCCTGGGTGGTGAGGTGGCTTTTTCGCCCTGAACCAAGGTATTTTTACCCTGTGTCTTAACTGCTGTTATGAAACTAAAATGCACTGAGTTTACTTACGTTATTTCCATCGACGTAAGAAGAATTATCCATTAAATACATGTTAATGCCGAACACTAACGCAGGACGCAGAAGAAGAAGCAAACAGGAGTAAAATGAGACTAATTTTAAGCATGGATTACTTATGCGACGTCACAGTGTGAGTCGAAAGTCTTCCACCTGCTGGCGGGGTTAAATTCGGCTCAAGAGCAACTTCACAAGAGCCACTAGCAAAGAACTTGACAGGGGTGGGGGAGGTTTGTTGCTAGACGATAGAGTCACAAGCGTATGGCCGATTTGGGCGTTTTGTTAGCAAATCGTGAAAAGCTTAAAGCGCAAAGGTATTTAAAACATGTTCAAGCCAGCACAAGCGACTTTCGAAAGGATAATGTAATAATGAAGTAGACGTACAGTAAGCACATCAAACGCTAGTTATTAAAATGAACCCAAATTATCAGTAGTCCTAGGAAGATGTCTGAAGGCAGGCTGAAGTTGAATTGACTTTGAATCGAGGTGAAATGACCATCTACCAGAATTTGGTCCTGTCCGCTACTTTCCTCGCTTTCCTCTATATTTCTGCATATAAACACGAACAACTCTATTCGCTCTAACGTCAGCTTTGGAAACTCTGCTCGGTGGCTAATTTACATCATCAGCTCATTTGATGAAACCAAATTGTCTTTCCTCACTGCGCGATCGAATTAAAAAGAAAAAGCTTTTTCTCAACTGGAAATATTGAGCCCTTTTCTTTTTATCTTAAAGGGTGCTAAAACGAAAGTTATACAAAGAGGAACTGGAACCCAAGTGGCCAACACCAGACAAGTTCTGGGACTGGGATATGTGGATGAGACTCCCTGAGATCAGACTGGACAGGGAGTGTATAATTCCTGATATTTCCCGCACATATCACTTTGGATCCAAAGGTCTCAACATGCACCCGTATTTTCAAGAAATGTATTTTAAAAAGCATGCACTGAACACCGAGTCAAATGTCAAGTTTGACGTGGAAAAAATGAAGAAGGATAATTACGAGATTGAGATCGAGCTTTTAATTAGGTGAGTCTTACTCTTATTTTGCTTTTAATTGTTATGAAATTTTGTTTTAATGTAAGGTATTATTTCTTCGTCGCCGTGGAGACTATGGTCCCCGTCAGTTTACTCAGACCTCCCTCCCTTTCACCGCCCCCCCCCCCCCCCCTCTCCACCCTCCCCTTGTGCTCTTCGTCTTTAGTGCCCACCTTCCCCCGGATTAACATGAATTACATTGTCTAAAAGCTTCGTCGGAAATTTCAAAGAGAGTTACGCGTCTCTTATCTTAAACTTATGTATTACTCTGCCTTTTGTTTACACAGCTCTTCAAGTACTCTCGATCATTCCAAGAATCCTTGCACAAGCGAGGAGTTCGTTCCGGAAGAGAAAGGCAAAAACTTTATATTTTACATTAAAATGGATCATCCCACGGATTGGATCACTTGGAGCGCTTTGGCAAAGTGTCTTAAGATATGGGACTTGGATGTGAGAGGTTTTCACAAGAGTATGTGGCGGTTATGGATCAAAGGAAATCATGTGTTAATTGTGGGATGTCCTGCCTCACCGTATTGTCATCATAAACCATCTAATGTGACTCCTATCTTTATACCAAAAAAGGAAAACGAGCAGTCGTAGTATTGGTACGGCGGTTTTCGAATAAGGGGAGTTCTGCGTCGGTGTTGCCCTGTCCGTTCTGTTAGTGAAGAATTCCAAGGGTCATGTCTCCGTCGTCCAATCAGAGTAAAGTTCAATGACTTTTCCCGCGTTCAGCGCTGGTTTTTCAGCGTGAAGTTGTGCGCCGGTGATTAGTTTCGTGAGGCCTTAGTTTTTGTGACCTACAGTCTTAAGGAAATCGCGCGAAATAAAATGGTTATTCGTGGATTGGTAGCTTTATTTAATTATTTTTTTACTGCTTTCGGGAAGTGATCAAGAACCTCGTTTTTCCGTATTTGAAAATGATCGTTAGAGATTGTTTCATTGAAGTTTGTTCTCAACAATATTCCAATACATTTTTGAATTTCTTATTCTCCATTTTGAATACTAGGAGTCCAAACTCTTTAAAATTCGACGGGACTCAGAATCGGAAGCTTGCGAGTCAGTACTGTTCATTGTATCCAAATTTTTCCACAGATCGTCACTGAGTTAGCTAACGCTTTAAAGACAACGTGCTTAATAAAAACTACTGATAAATAGGTTGTGGTGATTTGTTTGACTTTTGTTATTCTGTGTTTTATTTTGTTTTTTTTTTGTCACACAACATTTTTGCTTACTATAAGTAAGGGCTGCGTGATACCACAGGATTTTTTTCTTTTTAGGTCAGACTTGACTAAACCCGCTGCCTCTAACTGGCAGATAATTGTATAACGCCAGCTTGGGTGATACTACTGATAGTTTTATTAGCCCTTAGATCAGTAGAAGATATTTAGCATCTGATTTCCCTTCACAATTTCACTGCTGATTAGAACACGATGAGAACATGAAAGCTTCTCAAATCACCAATTTAAGAAACTTCTGGTTGTGAAATAAGTTTTCTTTGTCTGCGCCATAAGGAATCATAGAGAACAGTATGAAGAATATGCTTGTTATGGTATCAAGGGTCAACCTTGAAAGGCCCCGAAGTGGTGTTATCATAGACAGGATTACCTTGTCACGAGGCTCTCTTTGAAAAGTAGGGTAGAAAAGGGGGCCCTGGGAACTAAGTTAGGTTAGGTGAGCTATGATTGGCCTGACCAGACCAGCGTGACATAATCCAAATGCGATGAATCACGGCAATTCGAGGGCTTAAAGATTTGAGGAAGTAGAACTGTTGTGTTCCTTGAATCCAAATAATAACAAAGACTGAATGCCCGCTTTTACTCTCGCCAAAGCTGACTTTAAATTGTCTAGGTACTGTCAGGATGGACTCCTAGTACTCTGTGGGTTTCTTCGATCAAAAGACAAGTTTGTCGCAAGTCACAGATGGATTTCAAGCTTTGACTTCTCGGCGGCAGAAAACCCTGACCTGGTGGGTTTTGGTGAGTTTGTTCATCAAAGAGAAGACATGTGAATGACAAGCCGGGAGGAATATTGACCTCTTAAAAAGTTTAGGTGAACTGGTACTTAGTAAATTTTATATGAGACAAAATGCGCCTTGTTACGTTTTTTTTAAACTCGATCAGTCTCCTCCCCTCCCCCATTACAAGTTAAATGTTCTTCCCCAAGCCCTCCCCTAGCCTCACCTCAGCTCACTGTGATGTCACGAGCCTGATTAACTCGATTCCAGGCTCTTTACCGAGGTGCGATAGCTTGAGGGCGTTTACTGAGGTTAAGAAAAGAATACTGCTTGCTTACCTAAGCAAAGGTAAATAATTAAGCATCGTTATGCGGATGACATCAAGCGACCCTTTCTAAGATCGTAGTCTGTGCTTAAGGTACTGAAAACTTTTGTTGTTGTCTTTTTCGACATCTTTAAGATTTTGTTATTATTCAAGATGGCGGCAGTTAATTGGGGTATCTTTGAATCATGTTAAAATGAGCTCAGAAGATAGGTTTGGTCACTCAGATGTGGAACTCTAGCTAATTAAATATTAGTGTTGGAATCTTCAGCTCGGTTGCCAGGATGAACAAGACAAAACCTTTCAAGTTTCGTCCGTTAAGGCGATCGGTGTCAGTCAGCTGATGTGTTCATACGAAAAATTTTCAGACAGTTCGCGATCGAGATTCTGGTCGCAGTAAATGCAAATTCGTGCTGAAATACACACCCTATCAGATGAGCACCGTTAGATTTTCCATAAGGAAAGGGTGATGAGGCGAGATGTGAAAGACGCAGCCTGACTAGCCTCAAGCCAGGCTTGTGAGGAACTCGAGGCCTTGATATTACTGACATATATACTACGCCACTTAACATTCAATGGACTTAGAACTAAGCTGAACACTATTAATTGTCTGTTAGAGAAGTTAACTCAAATGTAACAGTTTAACCTTTAAGGAAGAATAATTAAGGGGTTTTTTTTAATGTATGACATTGCAAGTCAAAGAATTCTTGAGCACTCTCGAAGAAATTATCGAGGTCAGCGGTGTATTAGTATCCGCACGCATTTGTTCAACGCGGTGGCGTAAACTATATGACGCAAGAGTTATTGACGTCACCTGACATCTCCATGCTAGGAGATTTTAGTATGCACGATAACTTGATTGAACATTCGAGAAACAACTTGATCGAAGCAAAAATTTCTACAAGTCATTTTCCAAATATCAACGTTTTCATCCTTGGGCAATGCAACATTTCCTCACTTTAACGTGATCTTAAGAATGTCATGTGTCCTTTTAGATACTGAATCTTCCTAAATTTCAACTTTTTTTTCAAAATCATTTACTAAGTAAATAAATCCAAATTTTTCAATTATAGTAACCACTACCACCTTCGAAAGTACCAAAATGTCTTACGCACTCATTGTTTGCTGCTTTTAGAGAGATAATCATCTGCTCAAAATGGAAATATTTTTTCAACGTAGTATACCGCTGCTGGTTATTTCAAAAGACTTCCTTTAGTGAAAAAAAGACAACTTCCTTGGGGGTAATGCACGAAGTAACACAAATTAAAGATCTGATTTTCTCCTATAAAATCGTGAATGATCGATGTAATCTTGAAAGAAACATGAGACTTGCCGGTAGTGGTTCTTTAAGGTGGTACCCAGACAAATATTTTCACTTTGAAGTCACAAATCTCTTTAATGATGCACTGATGTCTAAAACATTGCTTATCTTCGAATTATTGGTACAATTCTGATGCATGTGTTTTTTTTTTTTTAAATAAGCCTCAGTTTATGAAAGTCTACGGTGAACTCAACGAAATTTCTTTTTCTGAAGTTGCTCACCAGTCAACAAAACGAAACCAGTAGCGGGTGAAAGAGGAAATTTTCTTGGAACTGAACCTTGTGGAGGTCACACAGGGCTAGAAACAGAACAATATTCAATTTTATTCCGAGGAAGTAATAGCGAAAGCAACCGTTTCGAGAAAGACGGGAAGTTAAATTACTATAAGAAAAAAGTGTCTCAGGTGTCGCTTGTTCCTCCTTAAAGAATAATTCACATTGTATTTATGGAATTTATCCAACACAAATTATATATACATCTTTTCAATTCACTCTCAAAGGAACGATGATATTGGATTGATGGGAGCTTTTTATAGATTTAAATTTACAGTTTGGAAAGCGACCAGTGTGATGGCCACACTTCCACGAATTCGTAAATCTTCGATAACTTATCGAGTCCTGTGCAATTGACCATAAATGCACGTTTTAGATACCTATACATTTGAATTCTGTGATGTGATAATGTTTATATACTGAGAGAAGGAAGATATTTTCACTCCAAGAGCGCAGCCGTTAACAGTCAGGCAAACTCGATCGCTTCAACGCCAAAATAAGGAAGCGAAAATTCAGAAAATATTACATAACTCAATCAAAATACTTCGTTCCATATACCTATTAGACTGGGTAAGGATACTTCGACAAGTAAAATTTCACAGTGTGTGGAATCCTCCTTGCGTCTTCGTTGGATCCACCAGCCAAAAGTTGGTTGTTAAGCGCTCTACGACATAAATGTTGGAGACTGGCAACTTCCTTATACAGCGGACGCCACAGAAAAAACTTGGCAGTTGCTGTCGTTTCGAGTTCATCTAACGAGCTTCTTCCTCTCGCTTGTAAAATCTTTCTTGTCACTATCATATAATAAAGAACCATCTTTACGGCGCAGTCAAACTTTGGAGGACCACTATGATGGAATTTCGTGTTTGTATTTGTCTTCGATGTGTCCTTTTTGTCCAGAGAAAATAGACCTTCCGAAAATACGATTCTGACATTTGTAATCCCAACCGCAGTGACTAAACTTATAGTAAATAAATGCCGCGAGTCAGAACTGTCGCGAACAAGAAACGTCCCAATCGCCTGATCTCGAAGAACAGCTTTCGCTTTGATTCCACTTATGGCTCCCCAATAAAAGCCACTATTCTCCAATCTTTTGACAGCAACCTCTAGCGAAGAAACAGCGTGTATATCAGCAGTCATCGATTTCGCAAACGACTATAGTAACTCTGAGTCCTGACGCTTAGCTCGTTACAACACCGACTGATCTTCATGTTCCTTGTGACCCATAATTTTGTTATCGTCAATTCCCTGAATCTGCTACCATGGTTCCACAGTCTGAGTATCTTAAATATATATTTCGTAAGTAACATGGTTGGCGTATTTATATCTGAACGATCATTCAAGACGCATTTCCGGGAAAAGAAAACCGTGTCGTCACACGAATTACGAATTCGTAGAATTGAACCGGAAGTTTATAGCAATACGATTTTCTAGGAAAAGAAGCAACCAAAATCGAGCGTAAACATGCATTTTGGCGTTAAGATCTAACCGAGTGATCTCGTGAAGGGGAAAACCTTAGTTTCCATAGAACGTAAGACTGTGCACGTTTTTTTGGGTAAAACCACGCGGATGGAAACGGAGATATCGCCCACTTACACCGGAACACTTTAGAATAGTCCCTGTCTATTGTTATCCTCGATCATTGTTTTAAAAACTGACCTGCTTATTTCAGCGAAACTGCAACAAATCTGCAAAGGAAACAGCTCGCTACCTTTTAGAAGGTTAGAGAACGATATCTCACCATTAAGTTGAAAATTAGTTCTGAGGAGATGCTCAGAAAAGC